GCTCAAGATGTTGAGGAACATGCAATAACAATTCTACCACTCCAAGAAGAACATAAAACCAAAAGATACCAATCTGGCACTAGAGAAGATCGAGTAAGGACTGATCAGAGACAGCAGAGGTGTGATCTGGAGAGTTAGTTTAGATGCCTGACAGTAGTTGTTGGGATGTGTGGTGTACATTGCTTTATGTTCGTTCATTAATTCATTAATTTCATACATGTGTGTCACTGTTTGCCACAGTATCCTGTTCACCATCACACTGTCAAAAAAATTCATCCAAGAAGGGGAGCAGTAGAGGCTTGCAGGGATTTTAGTGTTAAGGCCATTTGCATGAGCTCATAACACTGTAGGTCTCTTGCTTGCTTTTGTGTGCACTTGATGTTTCCCAAACAGTAAAAGCAATGTCCTCTTCTGAGGAAATTCACAACCTGCAAGCCTCTCAGGTAGGCTTTAAGTAGAAAGAAAGTGACTGAGGATTTGTCTGAACTGGGAGCATATTGATCACACTAACACTCATCATGAAAAGCCAACCTTTTCTCCTTCTTTCTCCTTGGGAGAAAGAAGAAAATATTTATTTGAGTTTCTTCCTGGCACACAAACCCTGCTTCTCTAGCACTGCAGGAAAAAACAATAAAGGTTTCTAACTAGCATAAAAACATGCATAAAAATGAACATTTACTAACTACTGGGGGGAAAAAAAACACTACAAAGACTTGTTGCTGTATTCAGCTTCTGAAATGGGGAGTTTGGATCAGTTGTTCTTATGGACCTGATGCTCCATGGTTTATTTGGGAGAAGCTCCTTATCCCAAACCACTGCCTGCTCTAAGGACAGCAAAAACAAAAAAACCAAACCCACAGCCACAATTCTTTCACTCCTACTTGTATTTGCAAGTTGATAAAGGCTATGAAAGGCTGTGGAATCATGCTACTGAATAACAGAAAGAAGAGGATACTGTGGCTGCAGTTGTTATTGTGACATGTTGTTCCTGACTGTATTTGTGATGTTCATTTTTCCCCACCCCCTTCTTCCTTGGGCTCATTCTCACTTTTATTTTTTTTCTCTTGCTCTCTTCTCTCCTTTTTCCCCCTCACCCCTTCCTTTTTTGTTTCTGTTGTCTCAGCTGGAGGTTCTCCACTACCGACTCAGTATCTCCAGTAAACACCACGGTAGTCCTGCCCACTCCAGCTACCAGGCCCTCCACGCATACCAAGTATTACCATCTTTTCATTTTGTTTCCTTTTAAACAATCTTGTTCCATCTTACAATCTGCAAAGCGTGCTGGTGCTCGTGGAAAAAGGCACTGCATGGTTTAATAACCTGATTGAGTACAAACTACTGAGGTATGATACACTTCTAGTAAAAGCAGGTAGTGAGAGGTACTAGCAAAGGCCATGGAGAAAGCAGTTAAAGTTCAGTGTGTATGAGGACTAACTGGGAACTACGTATTTAGAATGCATTCTTGTAATGCACTGTAGGACATTTGTTATCAGCTGTGCTAACAACTTTTGATATCCAAACTGGCCTCACTGATTACACACTTCTGCCTCTCAGAAACTAATAATTTAAGCAAACCTTGAATGGAGGAGTAGATCAGAATTGGCATGGCTGTAATTCAGAATGAAAGTAGTTCATGCCTGGTTTGTTTGGGAGGTTTTTGTTGTTTTCAGCCAGTGAAATGCCATGGGATAGTACTGATTTGTAGTGGCAGTGTGAACTTGATTGTCCTGCTTTGCAAAATGACACAAGTGGTACACTTGCAGATTGTTCAGGAAATGTGCATGCAAGAACATTCCTGTTGGAACGGATTGCTGATTTCTCTTTCCTTAATTCAGTCCTTTATTCATTGGGTTTTCATTTTGGGAAAGGGGAGGGCTAAGAGTATGCAGTATAAAGCTCTTATCACATTGCAAGGCTCTTTGGTACTACATGAAATTTTCCTGCTTTTAAAATTTGCTATTTTTGTATAAAGTACTGTGAAATCTCAGGATACGGCTTAAAAAGGAAAATAGGAAATATTGCTTGGCTGCTGCTGCAGCCTAACCTGAAGTCTGTGGGGGGGGGAGGGGGAGAAAAAGTTATGAGGAAAAACACCCTTAAAACAGTAATGTTCATTGTTTTGCTGATCTGGGCTAAGAGAAAAATAACTCCTAAGTGAAAAAACTATTGTGACCTGAAGTCATGTACTGAAATGGTATTTCTGCAGGTTCCAAAGGTACTTTCACATGGAGCCTAGAATTTCTAGAGAATAACACCTATCGGCCTATAGCAGGATATTAAATGTTTCTGATTACTTCTGGACATCTTTATCTAAACTCCTTAAGGCTCCAGATAACATGCTTACATAGTCGGGGCTGTCAAGAACACAAGCAAGACTTTCCATAGAACTGATAACAGGTTATCTAAGGTTCCTCGACTGGAACAGATTTGTCTGTACCACGTTAACAGACCTATCAAGCCTTGGTTCTTTTCCTGGAGACATCTTTGTAGTCCCTAACCCTAAGAAAAACTTCTGATCGATAGGAAATGTAAACATCTGTCTTACTTCAGGCATCACAGACAAAAAGGACACACACATATAATAATTATATGCATGTATGTACATACATAGCTGTAGTAGTCAAGAAGCAGAGGCTTTTGGTATGAAATACAGTTAGTCCTTGTAATGCTATAATGGGATGATAATAGCAGGGTGGCAAAGTCTTTGACTACAGCAAGAGAACAAGCCCAAATGCAGCAGCCATGGACACAGAAATGAAGGAAAAGAACTGCTTACCTTTGGAAAGCCTCAGGTAGGTAGGGGGTCTCCAGCAAGAGATGCTTTCACCTTCACTGCCAACCTTTAAATGAAGGCCACATCCTGGCTGCACCCCTTCTGGTCACTCAGGTACATTGCTTGCACCTGAGCTGCCCTGCCCTGCCTTCCCTAGGTGCTCAATCACTGGTTCAGGCTATGACTTAGCATTTCCACTACGGTCCCCTAGAGTTGTATTCAGAAATCTTACCTCAGCATGGCTTCATTATGGCATTCTGGAAGCCTCCAGCAGCTACTAATACATGTTTCCAGCATCTTCCATTATACTTGCAGCTGCAACTTTAGTTTCACGTACACTCTGCTTGACTTTCTAGAAATACGAGAGCCGTGAGTCTTAGAATACAGATGGTATCTTAAAATTCACCTTCAGTAGCGGATTGAGGTTAGTTCACTACTCCTAAAGCAGATTACAGTAGCAAAGGAGTTAACACCTTGTTTTCAGACTGTGCAGCAGCCCAGCTCTGGTGTTGGGCCTAGGAGAGCTAGTTCCTTTCTCACCACATTCATCTCCCTGCCGTATCACACACTCGCTCATTTGTTAGCAGAGTCACTGTGCCTCACCATCACTCCTTGTGCTATTCCTGCCTGGCTACTTCTACCTGTAACAGTGCTAGAAGTAACAGGATCGTGCAGGAACTTGAAGCAGTACATATTCTTTGCGTAACTTTCTAGCATTATTCTTTCTTATAAGCCATATGAGTACAAGCAGAGTAAGGAGAACTCTAAGGAAAGTCAGGCAGGAGTGTAACAACAGGGTTGTGCTATTCACAGCAGCCAATTTAAAACCATAATGAAAGGCTGAACACTCTTATTTCAGATAGGCTGAAATCTACACAGATTCTATTCTGTTATACACACCCATAGAGAGTGCTACCTTGAAATTCACTGCCTTAGAATACCTCAGGTGCTTTTTCTTACAATCGTAGTGAACTGATGATGGCAGAAGCCTGATGCAGTTTGTCCTGGGCAGCAAGTCTGTCTAAAGTGACCTGGCACCAAACTACAGTGAAAAGCTTAAAAGAAAGAGAGCATTGATGTTTCAATTTCTATTCTGAAAATGCCATTTTTCTGAATTATCTCCTGGAGTGTCAGTGTATAGTGGTAGTGCTTACTCTCTTCCTGTCTTCCTTTAAATCCAGGAATCATTTAAGCCCACTGAAGAGCACGTGCTGGTGGTAAGACTGCTCGTGAAACATCTGCATGCTTTCAGTAACAGCCTGAAACCAGAGCCTCTCTCCCCTTCGGCCCATTCCCACACAGCCAGCCCGCTGGAAGAGTTTAAAAGGTAAGTAGGTGCATGAGCATTCTGTCTCTGGAACAGATAGTTTTTCTGCCTGGCAAACTCTGTTTTCATGAGATGTTGGAGTTGTTTCGATAGTTAAATTGAGAGGTGCATTACTCAAAGTACTGGAGTATGTATGTGAAAGATTACGGATAATATTTCTCGTATTTGTTAGATAGGAAGTCAGCTTCAGAATGCAGGTGTCCTGCTGCTAAGCTGGTCTTGTTTTGCTACCAGTCAAAAAAAAAGAAGATGCTAACAGGATTCATGAGCTGAGGTTAATGGAGAGTTTTACACATCAATTTGAGTTGAAATTAAATGGCTGGTAGCTTCAATTAAGGGAAAAAAATAAAATTGGCTCAGTCTCTTCTGTATTTGCCTTTCTGGAAGTGGATTGGGTTGTTTTAAGACTTACTGCTGGTTTATGTGTTTGAACTCAGGCTGTTACTGAATCCGTTTACAGGGTTGTGATTCCTCGGTTTGTCCAGCAGAAACTTTATATCTTTCTGCAGCACTGCTTTGGTCACTGGCCACTGGATGCCTCTTTCAGAGCGGTACGTACCTGCTTATCTGAGAATGCACTCGACAAAACTAGTGCTCAGTTACTGTTGCTTAGCACCATTCTCTTGGTTGTTGTTGTTTTTTCCCTGAAGCAGTGAAATTCTTTATATAACCACATACATTTAATGTTAGGGAAAGAGTATGGACGTATTAAAAAAAGACTGATAGGTTTTGTGGCAGCAGATGCTTTAGACAGTGAAAGTGGTGGTTGCTTGGAAAGAGTAGTTACTCTTAAAACAGATACATTCTTGCAGGTGTTAATTTCTGCATTGTATCTAATACAGTGTATCATAAACAGAAGTAATACAACATTTATGATAGCAAGATCCTGCAAATATTATGTTCTACAAGGTTGTCATTTATTTAAGAGTTGAAAAATTAAGGATGTAACAGACAGGTACTGCTTAATAAAGCTATAGTCATCTATATCGCATTTTTTGAGGAATTCATAGAAGGCAAAACGTCAGCCAAAAAGCTTTACAGAGCCCATGGCTTCTGTGCAAGTAAGACTTTACTGTTTTTTATGTGTGGTTTTTGCTTAGGTTCTTGAGATGTGGTTAAGTTACTTACAGCCATGGAGGTATGCTCCTGAAAAGCCACCTCAAACTGCAGAGCTCTTGCCTCGCAGCGTGTCAGAGAAATGGTAAGTAGGAAAGCAGCTGAGAGTCTGAAACAAGTCTCAAGTTTATGCAATCTTGAGTACATCACCAGGATCTCAGAGAAGTACTCCCTAATGTAAATTAGCTTCCTGCACAAGATCAGAAATTATTTCTTACAATACCTTTTGTTCTGAGAGTATTCTCCTTTGTCTCAGTTGCAAACAGCTCATCTTTTCAGAGATAGTACAAAAACACTCCCTTAGTGAATTCCTAAATAGTTATTTAAATAGCTGTACTCACAAATTCTGTACTCACTCCTTACAGGGCTGCCTTCATTCAAGAAAATCTACTTATGTATACTAAGCTGTTTGTAGGATTTTTGAACAGAACTCTTCGAACAGACTTGGTCAGCCCAAAAAATGCTCTGATGGTGTTCCGAGTAGCCAAGGTCTTCGCTCAGCCCAACCTAGCTGAAATGATCTTGAAAGGTAAATGGATATTTTGACATCTCATGCTGTCCCGTCTCACTCTTTCATCTCAATAGGTACCAACCTACCTCAGAAGTACTGAATAGATATACTTTTGTATTTTACGTGCCATTTTACCCTTCAAATATCTGCACGTCTTCACGTTAGTTTGTAATACTGGTTTAGTATGTTTACAGTCACCATCACATTTCATTACACAAATTTTCCTTGAAGAACGAAGAACGCAACATTGGGTGTTTATGATAAAGTTAGTATTTGGTTATTTAAGCTCAGGGTTAGGTAGTCTTATACTCCTCAGTGTGTTTATGCTTAACAAAAGAAGTAGGCAGCTAATCACATTTGCATTTAAGGATAACTAGGAAACAGGAAATTCAGGAGAGGCGAGATTTAACAAGTATTAAAGTACTGTGATTCTCCAGTGCCTTCAATGAAAATATAGACTTAAAATGCTATCTGTACAGTTGGCATTTAGATACACTCTGATTTAAGAAAATGTAAAACACCCTAACCCAACAACTAACCCAAAAACCTTAAGATGCCTTGCAGCTAGACTTTGTTCAGCCAAAACCTGGAATATCATGTAACCATCTTCACGACTCCTTCAAACTTTAGGAGAACAGTTATTCCTGGAGCCAGAACTTGTTATTCCTCATCGTCAACACCGACTTTTTATGACTCCCACACTTGGTGGAAGCTTCTTGTCATCGTGGCCTCCAACTATTACAGATGCCTCATTTAAGGTGAAGAGTCACGTTTACAGCCTGGAAGGACAGGACTTCCAGTACAAACAGATGTTTGGCACAGAAGTCAGGAACTTGGTAAGCAACAGGCATCTTGTCACGTGTCTTTTGATTTTGACAAGTGGTCTCTTAATTCTGAGCATCCATAGCATCCATGTTACAGAAGTTAGGAGTGGAAAACTTCACTCTACTCAGCTGTAAAAATCTACTTACTCTTTGGTAAATAAGTTAACTTAAGGGCTTGCCAGTTTCTCTTTTCAAATGTTTGCTATGAACTTCTGATTCATTGTATGGAGCTATGGAGCAGTATCCATCAGCCAGTCTGATAACTCCAGCAGGCAGAGGAAAAAAAGAAAAGCAGGTGGAAAAAAGAAAACATGTCTTAAATATTTCAACCTCAGTGAATGTATGTTCATTGGAAATGCAACTACTACAAGTTAACATGAACTAAGTGAGCAAGTTTGCTGGGCTTGCTCCCTGTCAGGTGTGAAGGCATGGTTTTATCCACATATATTGATGCTTAAAGGTCCTTTACAGCTCATGTTTAATTATTTTCTTTGTTTCAGGTGTTAAAACTGGCTCAGCTGATCTGCCAGGCACAGCAGACAGCAAAATCCATATCAGACCATTCAGCAGAGACAACAGCTAGCCATTCCTTCTTTTCATGGTTTAAGTTCACACCATCTGAGATGAACGGTTCCTACACTGGCAATGACCTTGATGAAATTGGACAAGACAGCATCAAAAAAACAGATGAATATTTAGAAAAGGCACTGGAATACCTATGTCAAATCTTTAAGGTATGCAACACCTCTTTAATAAATTCTAGTGAGGCAGTACAAACAAGAGTCAGGATTCCTCAAATACACTTCTAGCTCTCTTACACTTTTTGGATCACAAAGCCATCCAGTGGCCCTGCCAGAAAACCTGTGAATATCACTTAGGCTTGACTTCACCTAAATACTTCAAAATACATTTCCATATAAATAGAACGGAATTTCTAATTATCAAGTCCACTTTAAGTAACCATTTTATTGGACTCTTCTGTAGTTTATATGAAACCTCAGTCTTAAGTTGTACGTACTCTCATGTTTACAAAGAGGCAGCGCACAGCCTAGACTTGAAAACCAGTCCCATATCTTCTAAAGGTAAAGAACTACAAGAAATAAAACATGTACCTGCAACTCTAGATAAAAGGATGAAGTAGATATTCTCTTTTTATTTACACTTAGAACAGGTTAAGTTCTGTTTGCTACATACACTCATGATAGAATTGATGGAAAAGACAGCTATTTTGGAGCTCTCCTGGAGAAAGGGGATATCAAACAGAACACTTCTCTGGGATTTGATAAATATGGAAATCAAGACTTCATCTCCTTTTTATTTTTAACAGAGGTGCTTTTAGGGATTTCTTGGTACTTGTGCTGGCTGTCAAAGGCATCCACTGCTAAGGAGCTTGTGAAAGGAGAGGTAAATGAAATAGATGTTCTAAAAATTACTTTAACACTGTGTCATTCTGCAATAGCTGAATGAAGCCCAGCTGACCCAGATGATGATGAAGTGTGGGACAGCTCAAGATGAGAATGGAAAAAAACAGCTTCCAGACTGCATTGAAAGTGAGGATGGCCTCATTCTTACACCTCTTGGTCGGTACCAGGTGAGAAGAGAATCATTCCATACTGCTGCCCTAGCTTGTTCTTGAGAAAACAAGTTGTCCTACATCCCAAAAAACGTAATTTTTCTGGGAGTAAGAAAGCTGCCAGTATAAAGGCATTTCAGTGGGAGCTACACTATGCAGGGTTTATGTTTTCATTTCTAGATGATAAATGGCTTACGTAGATTTGATGTGCAGTATCAAGGGGACACTGAGCTTCAGCCCATACGCAGTTATGAGAACGCCACTCTTGTCCGCCTCCTGTATCGTTTATCCTCAGCACTCAATGAAAGGGTAAGTACAGCACCCTGTTCTTCATCACATCTGCACATAGAATGCTTGATGCTTAATGCTTTGTTCTTGCACTCTCCCCTTCATTGTGGGTGTGCAGTGGTATATGCTAATAATGGATGTGTGCATAAATATCTCCTAATAGCATTAAGCCTGCTAGTTTACCTCTCATTTTGCTTTCCTTACACAAAGCACTCAGAATATTTTAAATGCATCTTTATGTTTGAGCAAGGAGAATATAATTAAGAATTAATATTCCTAAATCAGGATAAAGCAAGTCTTTTCCTTCCTATAGGCATTATAGACTCAAGGGAAGTCCAGAGTTAAATAGAAGAATTGCTTTTAGTGTATTTGATCCATTCTTAGAATTTCCTGTAACACTTTCCCCCCGTATATTCATGCTACAAATGAAGAAAACTGTAAAATAAAGCGATGCTTACTTTATACCATTAGTTGCAGTAGAATACTAATATTTCAATTTTCTTACCTCAGTTTGCTGAGCAGATGGAAGTGCTTTGCTCCAGGGAAGATTTTATTGGCAGATTTTGTTGCTACCATCTTACAAACCCTCACTTCGTACACAAAATCAGGTACAGTCCTGTGCTGAAGGACAGAACAAACCGGAACTGGGGACCAAGAATCAGTCTGAGGTTTCTGGCTAGCTACAGGACCCTTATTTCCTTGCTAATGCTGTACTTCATTGCATCCTGGTTTTATATTGGGCCAGTGGGCTGCACGTTCATTATCCTCTTCAGCTATTTTCTTTATGCTGTAATAATGACTTTCTTCTTTGAAGGACGGAAACCACATGAACACTGAGTTTCTCCTGTCACTATACTTGTAAAAATAAATGTTCAAAGGATAATTACCCTAGGATAGCCAATGAGTAAAATGTTTGAATTATCAGATACCTTAAAATATTTTTAATATCAAATTCAATTGAGTTTTTAATGTAAATTTTATTTTTATAAAAGTCTTCTTACGTGTTTGAGTGAATGTGACTTTTTTTCAGGGTGGGAAGAACAAGCCATCACACTGAAAACACAAAGTCACTGTCATCTGCAGTGCAGTCTAGTCTAGAGACATAGGGGATATTTGGCTGCATGGTACAGAACTCAGAGGGGTTCTATGAACTTACTATGTCCAGATCTACAATTCAGCTTATTCCATGCTGTAGTGTGGAGGACTCTATCCTTCAAAATAACCTGCACACATTTAGATACCTCAAACATAGCATTCATTAAGTTTGTTCTCCAAACTAAGTTAGGGCTACATCACAATCACTGCTTTGTTTCTTTAGCAATGTAACAAAAAAATACATGTACAAACATTTTTATTCAGTCATACAGTTACATGCTTGCCAAAACTGCCTATGAGGAAAGCTCCTAGCAAACAGAGAGTACCTGAAGAACAGAAAAAGCACCTACATAATAGAATCAGTTGTTTACCACAAAGTTCACTCTAGTTTGAAAAATCCTAATATTTTTTTTTCCTTGCATGATTTGAACTCGTCTCTGTCCTCCAATATTCTTCCTTTAGAAGTAGGACTGCTTGAAGAATAACCTTGTGAGATCTCCTGGCTCAAAGAGAATTAAGGGAAAGACATTTCAGAATAATAATTTAAAAATAAGAATAATGCCCTGTCACTCCCTCAGCTGAATCCATGCAAAAAGACCACTAATTTCAAAGGCTCTCTCTGTTTATGCCCAACCACTTCAGTGCCAACCAAAAGCCAGGTAAGACATTCCATCAAATAATCAAAGGAGCTCATCAGTAGGACAAAAACTCTTAATTTAAGAAAGGTACTGAGCTGAAAGGAAATGGTTTCAGGCAATTACAGTAAGATTTATTTAGCTATCAGTTTGATTGCCACTCCAGTGCCTATTACAAAAAGTCAGTATTGCCACCACTGAAATGAAAAACAAAACACAAACCACCTTCAAACAGTACTTAGAAATCAAAACTTATTATTCGTCTTGCTTATGACTGCTTTGAACATTTAATGCTGTACTTTTATGATAAATTCCTTAGCTCTTATTAGCATCTCATTTCAATCAGAAGTTGATTATGACTGTTTTTGTATGCTACTTATTGAAGAAATGAGAGGATCAGATTTCTGCATTTTTCATTTCACAACATATCTGCTATTTCTAAAAGGCAGGAATCCCTGGATCTTTCCTAACATGTTTTCTGTATTCACAGTGCCCCTGATACTTGATGAAGTTCCCAAACATTAACATTAATTTATTGGTGCATCTTTCCAAGAATTTGGGAATAGTGCTTTTATATTTGACAGGATTCATGAACAGCTTATGATCATTTGCCCATCAAAACAAACAGAAGCTATGTTAATATCCAGCTATTAATTTGACATGCTGCAGGCGCGTGATTTATTTTCTGTTTTCAGTTTTTGTTTCCTAATTGAGATGCTGCAGTATGCTAGAATGCCTACACCACACTAAGTCTAACACTTCATTACACCTTGTTTGAAGTAAAGCCACAACTGCACAAGGGAAGTATTGGAAAACTGAAGGACATTTACAGTGTGCTTTCCATCTATCTCCAGATAGATTTGAAATAAATTCAGAAATATCATTCGTGTTGCAACTTCAGACCCCTGCAATGCTTAAAAAAAAGTACAGAAGAAAAAAAAAAAACCAGCTCCATCCTCATTTCTTGGATTATGTCAATTATGTACTTCAATAAGCATCCAAAGTTTTTGTGATGAAAACATCTGTCCAGCAGAACTGTATTGATGTCACTGGTCCTTTTGCTCTACGAAGCAGCCATGTAACAGTACTGGCTAAAAAGCTGTATCTTCTCTTGCAGACATAATCACTAATCTCTTGCCCAGCTCTTTCAATTGATTTACTATGAGGAGCCTAAAGATGCTGCTGCTTGAAATGAAAAGCCATTTCCATTTCTCCTAACCCTCAAAGTGCATGAGTTTTCACTTACCCTAGAACAAAGTAACCATCATCCAAGGGATGCAACAGAACTGGTATCTGAGGATCAACATGGGAAGAGTAGTATAATGTTAGCATCCAACACAGGAATAATAATAAATTTATTACAATAGAAACAAACAGATAATGCATTAGTTCATGTACAAAATACTGATAGCATTCTGCTGCCTCAGTTAGTGGTTACTAAGTACCCAAGATACTAAAACCAACATCACACATTTACAAAGGTCAGTGCAATTTCTTGGCACTACTGAGAGAGTGCAGCTGCTCTTTAAGATTTGCTGCACAATACAGGGAGATAAAATAGGATATAACTGGAACATCTGAAACCTGAATTTGTTTCTGCACTAAGAAAATAAGAGCAAACAAACTATGAGAATGGGGGAAAAAGAAAACAAATTTAATTATTCATGGCAAGTGTCTTCATTGGAAGCCCACAGCAATACAGCAGCTGACAACCAACTTGTGTGCTCTGTATTTTGCTCAAGGCACAAAATAACAGTTGTCAGATCTGCTACTGAGCTATGTGATGTGTTTTCTTGTTTTTACTTTTTTTTTTTTTGTCCTTTTCTCTTAAAAAGGAAGCAAAAGAAAACAAAACTCACCATGTAGCCACTAAACTGCATCAACTCCTCCAAGCAAGTCAGATGCCTCAGACTGACTCTATTCCACTAGTAAAGAAGACATGGCTACAAGCCTGCTGGATTGATCTGTGGTACTACAGCTTTAAACTGTTGTTGCACCGCCACCTTTACACACACACTTACTTATAGGGGAAGTCATTGTGCACATTAATATCTCCTCTAACTGCTGCACTGTCAGAGCAAGAAAACTGTGGTCCATGCTAACCAAAACCCTTTTATACAAAGTAGCATTTAAAATAAGCTAGAAAATATTTTTTTCCTTCTGTTTAGTCTTTCCCCCCACCAATATAATTATCCTGATTTATCTCACACATTTGAGGAGTATCCTAAAAGACCATAATTTATCCCAACCCTGGGCAGGGCAAAGCTAATAGACAAAAGATTCCTGCAAACACTAGGAAGTTTGCAAGCACGTTTTACTTGCAGTTTTTTTTATTTCTGGGGGAGTATCAGGTCACAAAACATACAGTGTGAAAGGAATACTGGCACTCAGCAAACTTTGAAGTAAATTAGGGCATTCTCTCCCTGCTTCCTCTTTTACCAATGAGACTCCCTGATGGAAGTCCACAAATAATTTCTTCTCTAAGAAGACAATAAAAACTCCTAATACAGTCTTGAGAACCATATATACACATTCTGCATATTTGAAAATGCTGACAGAAGTCCACAGAGGCAGAAGATAAAAAGCATGAAATCTAGAACTAATACCAGGTCCTCTACTGAACCTGACACCTAGAAACAAAAAAATGCAAGGCTTCTTTCTTCTGAAGTAACCTCCCCAAAATGCCCATGACTTTAGAAATGGTACGTGGAAAAGGCCAGCTGTTGAGACTTGATTTCTTGCTTCATAATATAGAAAGTGACACATTATGCAGCAGAGAGGCAGGCTTGACGAATACTTTGTGCCCAGGTGTTTAAGAGTGCCGTGACTGAATGCTTGTCTGGAAGTTGCAACAGTTTTGAAGTCATGTATCGATACACTGACTGCAAGAAGGGATTGGCTGCTGGGAAAAAAAAATTATAGTTATTTAAAAAAATATTACATTAGGTGTTCACATTTCCCCAATACTACTATGCACACATGCCCCCAAATACATGCTAGAATCCTCATACCATACTGCCTAGGGTTTTTTATCCACAGAGGGCTCTGATCTGGATAGTCCGCTGGAACGCTGAGCTGTAGTGGTGGGACATTTGGAAGATTCTTGTCATCTAGAATGCAAGCACATTTTCCATCAGAATAAAGCCTTTTTTGTCCCTTGTATGGACATTCTTTTCATACATAGCTCAGTTTCAAGCCTCTGAGCCCCAGGAAGAAGACAAGGGTATACTGTTTTAAAACAAAAATGGAAATCTCGTTTCACTTATTGGAATTTCACTTATTGGAAGGACAGCCTGGCAAAGACAGATCCATCTCTTAAGTAATTCTGCACATTGCCCATCATTTCATTGGCTGGCCTTCATTAAGATTCATTATGACACCTCATTTTGGAGGATTAGGTGCCTCCTCTAAGAGCTCAAGATGTTCAAGATGAGAACAGTTCAGATTTCCGACATAATGGGGATGAAAAAGAATCTGCTTTGCTTGGATTCCCATCTGGAAAGTAAGATCATAGACTGTAACACTTTCTGTTTATTCAGCTGAGAAGGAACAAGGAAGATGTCATCTGAATTCCTTTTTTAAACATATATAATTATCAGTCATGATTAGTACCAATTAATAGACCCTTCCAAAAATTAACTCACCATTTTTCCAGCTCTATCCTAATTGTTGGCATAAGAACAAGTCTCACATACCAGGTATCAAGACGGTTACTAGCAACAAGTGGTTTCTACACACTCAATGAGATTAATAGTTACAGCCTCAGAGTGAGTAAAGGATTGGTCACTGTGAATGAAATTTCCAGGTGTAACCTAAGGCAGGCTGTACAGAAATGTCATGATTAAGCTGTTCTGTGACACTGATAACTACAGACTTCATGCAGAAGTCACAGGTTGGCAAGATTCAAGACTCAGCCAACAGAAAAAAAAAATCCCTCAGTTCTGAATTCAGTCCTCAGTTTCTTCTTACCTAGTTTGCATATGAGATGAACTGTGCCATTATTACTGCAATGGGAGGGGTCCAGGTTCACCAGGAACTTAGGATTTAATCTTGCAACTTCCCCTTGTAACACATTTGGTATAGTCTGTCTGTCATCCTCTTCATATTTTCGTTTTCGAGAGGAGATAACTGGGGCCCTATGTAAAATACAGTTCACAATAGAACAAGGTGAAAATTTTATGCCAACACTACATTTGCCAAACATTTTACAGGCATAAAAAGGTACAACTCCCATCTTGCCATAAACCCATCCCCATTCTTTCAACAGTTGAAATAAAGAAGCAGTTAGTTAATGATACATACGTGATTGGTGGACCATGAATGGCAGTCATAGCTGGCATAAAGGTGCGGTAGAGGGAATGGTTGAAGACTGGTGACCGGATGTTGGCCAAGACAGCATCCAGAAGTGGCTGACACAAGTACTGCTGTTTGGTGGGAGGCACTGGGGGAGGTGGTGGAGTAGGCTAAAATACAAAAGCCCCACCTTTTCTCTTAATTATCACCAAAAATAAAAACATTCCGCAAAACTTTACAGCAGTAAACTTTCAATGCACAAAATGCAAAGAATTCTCAAAACTGCACACAGTAGCATTAAATAAGCCTGCAGCTTTCTCCTGAAATCAGCTGCAGAAATTCATAGAAAGAATTACTATAATATTTGCACAAAACACAAGAATTTGAAAGCTCCATTAAAAGATGCATACAATATGAAGAGCTTGCCTGTTTTTTCCTGTTTTCTTAGTTTGTCCAACCTCAATTGAATTCATAACAGCATAAGCAACAAGAAACACAAAAAGTTACTAAATTATAAGATTTTTTTGAATCGATTGCTTATCTTTTATTAAGCAAAGCATTACGTACCACAGCCATATCATTCTTTAGCTTCTCCAGTGCAATTTCGCATTTCTGCAGTGTCTTCAGAGGGCATCTGCAGAAGAAGACAAAGTTCATCACCACAAAAGGGGCACCTCAGCTCAAGTGTTTCTGCTATCTGAGCCCCACAGGCAACTTCAGTGCCAACATGGCCAGATGCTAAACAAAAACTTTCTGGAAGAGGTAGGGAACTTTTATCCACTGAAAACTGACAAGTTACCGTTTTGAAGGGTCAGTCAGGATATCCAGGAGGCTCTTCATTTTACTCAGGTCCTTCTTTCTATCTGAAGAAATATCAAGAGACAAACATTGACAATGGGGACAACTACCATACTTGTAGACAGAAACATACCATGCTGTTAAAAGAAAAGATATTAGCAAACATTGAAGAAAATAGTGAGATAGATCTTTTGTCTAATGTTTAAGCACACCCATTGCATAAGCTATCAGAATGTATCCCAAAAACATCAAATATGAAGGAAAACTGATAGGAATTTAAGGATTTTACCCACTCTTCCTAGTAAAATAATTAGCTGTGACTGTCATTTTTAATCCTTGGAACAGAAACCATCATAAAAAGATGCACTGTTTCTTCCATTATGAGAGAGACAAAGAAATGCATGAAAACGAAACTCACCTTCATTTTTATCGATTTTATTGATCATCCTCCGGAGTGGCTCAATGTATTTTGATAGCTGTTTGAGTTTCTCCAGATATTGTTGTTCCTCTGACTGGCTAGAACTGGCTGGACTCATGACAGAGTTTGGGTTTCCTAGCAAGAAGTAAAGACTGCATGTTGCATGGATAAGAGAATCCAGATCTGAAATGTGGCAACTCTCAAACCATAGTTCATGATGCACTCCACAGCTTCAGTACCTGTCCAGTCCTCTAATCTTTTTGCAGAAATAACAACATGCTCTGTGGACAGTGCAGCAATTCCCATTTATTACTACTTTTTTTTTTTTTTTTTTTTTTTTTTTTAAACTCCTGAAAAAGTCCAAAGGTTTCATACTTTCATTTCCTAGATTCCCATTTTGCCTCAGTCTGGTACATTAAACATTAAATCAGCACACGGAACTTGCTGCAGTTTTCCTTCAGCCCACACTTTTTAAACTGCAGAGCACACAGCACTGTAAGAGGAGTCAGCAAGTTAACTCACAGAATCAGAAACTGCTCTTCCAACTGGGACAGAAAAGCACCGTGATGCATACAACATGCCTACTATTCACCATGCTGGCTGTTCAGCAGTGCTGTTTAATGTTTATGTCATACCAAATAATAAGTGTAATAATTCCCAGGAAATCTGTTATCAAAATATACCCCAATTCATGGTCTGTAAAAGAGATCTCATATTCACCTGGAGTGTTTAAAGGACCTGGGGATGGGACGCTAAAGTTCTGAGGTGTTCGTGCAGCTGCTGGGCTCTGGGATGGCTGTGGAGATGGACTGGGGAGAAAGCTGCTGGGAGATGGAGCTGGGCCAGAGCTGAAAGATAACAATGAAAACAAATCTGCCAGAGTCTGATAAGGAAGCATGGTCAGCCTGCAAACATACATTTTCACTAAGTGTTGCTATAGCAATTTGGAGCTCCAGCAGTAGATTTGCTATGGATTTCTTATACACGGGGGTTTTCAGAGTGTATTTGGCAAAATGCCACCTACACTCTCACAAAGTTCACGGTAAAATTTATACACTTCAATGGAAACAGTGTGAGGTCTGTCGAATGCTTCTGAAAACCTTCAGAAGTTACAGTCCAGCTCACCTGACATTTGAGTTTGGCTGAGAATTTGGTTGGCCTGGTTGAGGAGACGGCTGTGGCTGTGGTGGTGGAGGCATTGACTGGGGTGTCTGAGCCTGCTGGACAGGAGATGGGGATGACATCATGGTAATGCTGTTCTGGCTGACCTGAAATGTGGAAAAAGAATAAGGTCAACAACAACAAAAGGGAGAAGACAATGGGAACCTAACTAACAGGCTTTAACTATGGAGAGAAGCATATCCTCAGCCCTATAAGAAATGAAAATGTTAGTTTCCTGTTCTTCTCCATAATGAAAACAGTTCCAGCTGTATCACTGTTGAGGCCTTTATGGCAGTACTTCCTATTAACTTTACCAGAAATAACAATTAAAACTGCATGCAATTTGGATAACTGTGTAACGACTTTTTCATTTCCCACAACAACAGGCTGCAATTAAAGTGTCAGAAGTGCCACCTGAAAAACCTGTGCTTTATTCGAACTAGGGTAAAGAAAAGCAGGGGGAAAAAAGTTCTAACTTGAAATAGCAATCACTAAAAAAAACCTTTGCATTTGAATTTTGATTATAGACTTCAAAGGTCTGTCAGATTTAACTGTAGCTTCTCAATTCGTTTTCTTCATGTTGAAAGAAGAAAAACAATTAAGTAAATCAAACCACCAGCATGTCTCATGCAGCTTTGCAAATCAGAGTGGAGAGAGTAACAGTATAAACTGAATGGCTGGGTGGACAAAAGTGAAGCAGCTTTCTGACCTTTGGAAAAAGATGAGGTATGCCTAAAGGACAAAAAGACAAATAAGGAATTTTCAGAACAGCACCAAACTCTAGATAACAACGAAGTTTATTCTGCACACTATAAAGTAATATAGCCAGACGATGTTCAAATTAGAGCAGCTGCCCCCCTGTGCTCATTTCACAGCCATTTTTCCCTTTTACCACTTAAAACCAACTAAAAAAAACCCAAACCCTTTATCATGGCCAGGATTATGGTACAGTGATGCAAATATTATATGAGCACGTTTGTTTAAGGCAAGTGCAGAGTTCTATGGCCTTAGGCTGCACATACAACAAGATATGCTTAGTTAGCCTACTCAGTGACTTACAGAATACCTGAGTTAATAATTAGCACCTTCATGAATCAACAAATCATTCCATCAGTATAAACCACTTTTAAACATAGGTCCCCACCAGCCCAACACTTCATGGACACTGCAAGTTGTCCTTCACTCGTTCGTTAACTATCCATCTTAATCACCCATTTTCAGAGGATGCTGAATATGACACAATATGCCTTCTTGGAAATACCACGTTACAGCTATGCAAGAAAGTAAATACATTACAAGCCAAAGCAACCCTCACCTAGGTGCAAATATAAAACTGATGAACTTGAAGATACTAATTCATTATCCATGAAATCAGTTTAAAAATAAATGCAGCCTGAAATACTGCTTTTACTTAAAGGAAAAAAAAAATCTTCAGTAACTCCATTACATTCTCAATCTCTTCTACCAACCTGAAATTCACAACAAGATTTTTTAACAACCTGTGTCTCCTCAGCAATCGGAAAAGCATTGCTGAGATTGCAAAGCATCTCACTGTGCAGCTCTCACAGAAATCAACCACCTCAACATCCCGTGGAAGTTAGTATGAACACCCCAAAAAACAATTCCTGACTTTTTGCCATTCTATTCAACATTCTTCTAAACAGTAAGAAATTTAGAACTTACCCCTACAGACGTTGCACCCATTTTTGTGGGGCCAAACTATGAACACTTCTAAGTGGTTTAGCACTCCCTGAAAACCAGGCCTTTTTAACGTGTCTGAGGCTGGTTACATAAAATTACTCTCGAGAAGTTAAATCCTGGTGTTTTAGGAAGGAAGAAGAAAGGGTGCATTAAGGTTTGTACCCAGATTTAAGCTTCTACATCTATTGCTACGTCAAGATCCCTTCACATTAAATTACAAATGCAGAAAAGCAAAGAAAAAAAGTAGCATACTACGTTATGCAAATAAGCATAAGATGAATTAGTGTTGTTATCTGTTTAATAGTATTACCTCTCTTTATTAAGTACAACCATAGGCAAGCAGCTTTCCTTCTTGCAATAAGTTTGCTCCCTGCTAGCTTCATTTCAGAACACTAAAGGCTAATGCTTAATATTATATAAAACCTTTTCAGCAACTGACTCAGAAGTATGCAATGCCAAACTTCTTTATGATTCTTTGAAAGCAGTTCCTTTGATATATAATCACTTCAGAGAGGGGAAGCAAAGAACTTCCTTTAGATCCAATTAACTCATTTAGCTCCTCATTTCACTCAAGAGTTTAATCATGGTTACTAGACAGTTTGTGTACCCTTCATTTTCAACATATGTAAGATAATGCAATTTTGCATTTTTTTTCACTGTAGGATGAGATTTTATGCATGTAAAAGCATACTCAAGGACAGATACTACAGCCCACTGAACACCAAGTAACTCTGCAGTACCTGAACACTATATGAAACCATAGGAAGCCTTGCCCAGAATATATTTAGGCTTGCACAACTGAAGCTCTGACTTAATAATATTTAGTATCCATTCAGGGAAAAACAAACTTCAGCTAAGAAAAAAAAAAATCACCTCTAATTCTCTGGTGTGTTCAAAGACCAGGAGGTAGAGGAACGTAATGCCATATCAGTAAGTATATTCTTTTGCTGAGAAAGGCTAATAGCAAAAGAAACCAACAACCAAACAACAATAAAAAAAAACCCACTGCAGAATTAACTGAGCCTTATGATAAAAGGACAGAAAAAATGTGTCAATGGAATGAAAACAGTCACAAAACACTGATGTAACATCTGGCTCTTTTGTTGAAAGAGATTCTTCAAGATAACACCAAGATTCTTTTCCAAAATGAGAAGACATTTAGAACCATCTGTACAGAGTCTAAAACGACTTTTTGTATTGTAGTCAGAGGTAACACTTTAGATTCTGAGTGACTAATAACCAGATGTATGCTACAGCCATTTACTCCTACTGTGAACAGCTGCAAGGGCTCTAATGACATGGTAATGACAGCATATCCAGTATTGCTTAAGCATTTCACAAAACTAAGAGGTGTAAATGACAACAGTTCCAAATTTTAATTCACCTGGAACTAGAGCAAAATTTGGCACTGAATGCTAGAGATTCACACTGATTCAGAGCTATCAAATGATATGATATGCGATACCAGCTTTTCCCAACAATTACTCACTTGCCCACTCTACCACGTGTTTATAACCCACTTTCATAAACAGATTGCCTTTCTTCTTCTGCCTTCTTTAATTGTTTGATTTTCTATATCTTTTTCTACAGTCACCTGGAAATCAAAGCCCCTCCATAAACACAGACATGACAGCAATAAAGCACTATGGCACTGAATACTAAAACTAGAAGTGAATGTAAGCCAATCTAACACTTAAGTATCTAACAGAAGCCCCCTCATGTCAGTCCAAAAATGATTGTCTCACACAATCTAAACTGCTACAGCAAATTAAGCTCTTAGCAAATTCTCCTTTGATTCAAAAGCTATGCCTGGGTTTTATTTCAGTTAACATAAACAGTTACCTGCACTGAAATGACTGTACATCTTAAACCAGGAATGACAGGCGTACCTTCCTGCACCATCTTTCTGATCATTGTAACTACCTTAGCAAACTAATGACAAAAAAAAGGCTGTGCCTACAAGACCTGATGCAGCAGCAATAAGAAGCGGTTTCCAATGCTCCACATCCCCCAGAAAAGATTGCAAAGGACACAAAAACGCAAAAATGAAGGAACCTTCATTAAACCTATAAGCAAAATGCAATAATGTTAAGTAAAACTACACACCTGGTATTAAATTTAGAAATTAATATCTAGAAAAACAAGACATTAGGTTCACAAACACCAGAGTTTAAAAATTCAGTTGAACATTCTTACACCACCATAATACGATGCATATGTAAACCAGCACCAATCACAGAGTTGAGCAAACCACAGAGTTCAGCTGAGTAGTGCCTCATTTTATGACATACTAGTAAGAACTCAGTTCTCTTTCATTCCAGTTTTCCCCACTTTTGCTCCCCTCCAATGACAGACTTTGCTTGTGAATCATGGCTGTGGGGTCTTCAGAAGACCAGAACCTGCGCTAAGCAAATGCAGTACTCTGACCTCAAGCACCTTCAGCAACACCTGGCGAGGTGCTGCCCACCTGCCTACACAGGTTCTCTCATACAAGTGGAGCCCTTCTGGTAGCTTCTCCTTCACAACTGTGAAGGAAGAGAACTCAATTTTTCTTAGACCTTGATTACATGCCAAGTTGATATTCAAACTGAAATGAGCTAAGTTTATTATTAATGCAAGAGGCACTTGTAAAGAGCACAAATACATGACAACTAAGGTCCTGGACACAACTCAGCCAGTGCATTAGGGTACATTGCAACACTTCTGCAAACTCTCCTAAATGCAAACTCATAGTGGAGTATGGACAAAGATTAAACAGAAATTTAGTAGTTCTAATTTGTGACTTGAAACAGCTACATTAAAAAATTGTAAGCGTTATAAGAAAGATCTATGCCTCTTGGAACCACCTTGATGTCCCACACTCTCAGAAAACCTGCTGTTTGAAATGAAAAAGGATCCGTGAAAAACCTCAACAGCCCAATACCCTGACACCACCAAGTTACTGTTCCACGAAAAGGTGAACTTCCCCTTGCTTGACAGCAAGCTCTATACAATCACACATCCAACGCTTTGTGCAATACCTGACACAACGTGCTTTGACTCAGTAAATACCTGTGGCATTTGCTGTCCGCCCATAGGAATGGAGCTTGGCGGTGTAGCAGACACTGCGGTGGTAGGCGGGAACCGTGGTCTTATTTGCATCCCACCTCGGGCCATAGGTGCGGTGATCATCTTTGAGGACAGAGGGACAACAGACAAAAGTAATCGCAAAACAAGAAATGCAGTGCAGTGGCAGGATGAGAAGCACATGCAACCTCCAGGAATTAGGGGGAGGGGAGCATGAAGGGCAGGTTAGTGAGCTGTTCTCTAATGGTTAGCCTAAGACTCTAGCTAATAAATCAAGCTTCTTTTTACACCCCTTCTACCCCTTTTTAGAAAGAACCTAATGAATTCTAGGTATCTTGAAAGCGCTGATACGTAGGCTCAGATTTGTAGGTTAAGGATTGGTAACACTACCATTTGCAGGAAGAGTTTTCCCCAAATCTTGCCCGATGGCTTGAATTTCTACAATTATTTACAATAAGTGCTCTAAACAAGCACTCCATATGAGCTTCTTTGCCTCTCTAACATCATAGGTTTCTGATGTACCTTCCCTCACTGCGGTCTCAGAGGATTTAGCAGTATTTGCATTTGCCACTGTCAAAGAATACAGCAGACAATTCAGGAGTCACAGCCAACAGCAATGCTCCAATGAGCTGACCTACAGCGAGCAAAATTTCAGAGCAACCTATGACTCTGTAACACTACAAAACAACAAAAAGGACTTGCACTTGAAGAAGCTATTTCCTTCCTTTTGTATCTCATAGAATGAATTAAATACATCCTTGAAATTTCCAGCATTTTGACAGATACCCACTCCTATACTACTAGGCTACATTAGGATTTTCTCTTATGAACTCAGGTCTGCCTCAAGATCATTGTTGCACTATTTGATTCTTCAGTTGTACAGACTGAGCACACCCTGAAGTATCAGCATTTGTCTAAAATGATTAAGGTTAGCATTAGATTTGTATTCTAAAATAGTATTAGGTACACACTACTCTGCAACATCTAGAAGTGCCTTTCAGACCCATCAGTCTGCAAAAAACACAGATTATATATAACTGTATAGCCTTCCATTACTTAGTATCACATCAGATACGCTCTGAGCTGAAGTGCAATAAACATTTATGGGAAATATAGCATATTTTTTAGGTAGTATTCAGGTAACTTGGACAGTTTAAACTTTTCAGATCTGCAGTGAAGTTATCTGGGCTACTTTTTTTCCAGTGCATACATTACCAAGGAACCTACACAGGCTCTAACTAACCTAGGACTTAAAGAAGTCTCATTTCAGTGAATGATTCAGGGCATTCTTGCTTAGTGTTCCATGTAAATGGACTGAAGCAGCCAGCGACATGTCTAGAGAGTCAGAGAATGCATGTGCTTACAATTGTTAAAAAATAAATAAAATTAAATACAACGTAGCAAGACTGAAAAAGGAAAGAAAACCAAAAGAAAAGAAGTGTCAAATTCAGCACAACTGTTAGTTCACAACAGCGCAATGCAGTCACCTTCCATCCAGGCAGAGAGGGATGGTCAGAGACAGGATTTCAAAAGAGAAACAAATGAGAGCGCTTCAGACATCACACACACATGCACATGTACACACACAGCATGCAACAGCCACCACAAGCAAACACAACAACCCAGCACTGGCACAAAGCACAGGTGGATGCTACAAAGTACAGTGAAGAGCTACTTTATCAACATGAGAGCTGGTGAAGCAACAAAACCCTAACAAAAAAAAACCCAAAAAAATAAAAAGAAAGAAAATTGCTGGGGGGAAAAAAAAAAAAAGATAAAATCCTTCCAGGCACAATCATCCCATCTCAGACCCTTGTGAATGCACACGGATCTCTGGAGAGCGTGAAATCCCAGGGATGTTTTGGCGACTCAAACGTCCCACCTTGGTCCCGTTTCTCATGCCACACCACCAAAGTGTGCAGATTTAGATTACTTTCTCCCAGGTCACAGTAATTAGCAGTTTATTCATAGTTTGGTTGTCTGGCAAACCACTGAACACCAGCAGGACCAACTCTGAATCAAAGACTTTCAGCTGCTGTATCGTGGTTGAATGAACATGTACACATGTACTTTGTTTTTTTAATGTGCGCTTTGGAAAGCAAGTGCATATATAAATATAAATGACACCAATTCCAGTCTTAGCAAAAGTAATTTATTTTTCCCATTCTTCCAGCTGATTTACATTTATGAAACCTGCCACTCTTCGAAGTAATTGGGAAAGGAGACTTCAAAAGATCATATTTGTTTTATGCAAAGCAATATACCTACAAAGGAGCTCATCAGTCTAAAAAAGAAAGGCAACCAGAAGTGTTCAGGTACTTCTGAGAAAGATTTAAACTGAAGGCAAATCTTTCTCCACAGCTGAAATCGAGATGAATCAATTTATATTGAGAATTTTACCCCACAAAACCAGAGAGCAGAGCAATAAATTATCTCTCTCCTGTAAGATGCTAAGTGTGCTATTTGATACAAATGTTGAGATGGAATACAATAATTAGAATCTGAACTTGTCTTGCATCTAAAATCCAGGGGATCCAAATTCCTTAAATACACATATTCTGGTAAGAATATATAAGTACTGTGCCACTATTACTCTACTAAAGACAGGCCAGGCCTGATTTTCAGATGATCAACAACAGATAATTTGCATTCTGAGCATCTGAAGGACATGCAGGAGAACAGTAATTTAAACTTCATTAATACTTAACTCCAGTTCACTACGGAGTTTCTCTTGGTACTCCAAGCACTCGTGTAGCACTTTGTGGTCACTAGGACACTATTTTGCTTATCTGTGTGAGTTACACACTCACAAGGACTGGACATCCAAGTGGAATAGCATTCACCTGAACGTTATGACTTCAGAGAATTTCATAGCTTAACATGGATCCACAACTGAATTTAGGCTTGCTTTTATTTTACACAGGAAAGCTTATCAGAAACTTCACAGAGAAGGAAAAACACAGGCACATCAACCCAAATTCCCAGACCAAAAGCGCCTAGAGACCAAGCTTAAGTGTAACAAGCAAGTATTAGGATAGGGTTTGTTTATAACAAAAGCTTCCCAGAACCAAATAAGGAAATCTAGGCAGATTAATTGTGCTGCTAATGAAAAACAGACTCAGTGCAAAGAAAAATCTTTTCTCAAAAGAAACTTCCCATAAATGAAAGAAAATGTAACCAGACAGTCAACATCAAAACTGTACTGCAATACTGTCCACAACCTTGAAAGAAAACACTACACACAGAAAATAGTTACACAAGTATAAGAAACCAGTAAATCATTGGACTTCACAGCAGTTTTTCACAGTTTTGTGAACTCCATCTGTGATAATGAGCAATCCCTGAGGTTGCTACATGTCTGAATAAAGCCACAATGCAAAAACAGCTGTCAACCATTTCTTTACCCAAAACTTTTCAAATGCACCGTGCTGTTAAGCCACTGGCATACAATTTCACTAAGTAGGGCAAGAATTAAGTTGACTCTACATAAGCACAGTCCACCTGGTTAGGGGTTGGAAAAAGCACCATTAAGTTAGTAGAAAGGAAAAAAAAAGTCAGTGTCTCCTCTTAGTCACCCTAAGTCCCTGAAGCTCTCACCTGGAAATTATTTAAGAAATAAAAAAAATGTTTTAATATGTATTTTAACTTCAGAAGAAGAATTCTACATTATTGCCAATACTGCACCAATTGTACTTACCACTGCTCAGCTTTTATATCCTGTTACACTGACAAAAGCAAAAGGACCAGAAACAGATCTTAGCCACCCACACGTACATGGGCCACATGAGAGTTAGGATGATGTACAAAACACTAGTCCTGATACAAGTTTATGAGATGAACGTTCAAGATCCAATTGTTATCCCTCTGCCCACGTGAAAAACTTCTAATGATCTTATTGAGTCTAAAACACATCTTGTGTGATGAAGGAAAATTGGGGCAATACATGAAATGGCAGAGATCTTTTTGTATTCCCAGGCATTAATCCTGGTCAGCCCCTTCTCATCTGCCTGCCTCAGCCTCTTCATATACAAAGTGGTGAGAACTGTACTTACCCATGTCTGTAAAATGGCTCAACATGAAAACTACAGAGGCAAAACATGAAAGACTATTGCATATTCTTGTGGAAAATGGAATGAGAGGATCAGCTCACTCCCAGTTTTTCTCCCCCATGTTTCCTTCACACCAGATACACATCAAGGAACAATTATTGGGGCTACAAGTGTATCGAAGGTTAAAAAAAAATTTGTTAGACAACAAGCTTTCACCCAGCACTTTTTTTTTTTTTTTTTTAATGTAACTCTGCACTCGTGACACATGCTAGTTTTTTCCTTAACAATCCACATCCAGAAAAAGAGCATCTATATCTACAGTCCATTTCACTCAGAAGAAGTATGGAAGATGAAAGGAATGAAAGGGGAGCATGGGAAGATTTCGTTGTCTATACTGCTTTTTACACTTGGTACACGGAGATGGAAGGTGGAACACATGTGAGTTAAGAGAGCAGGCAAAGATTCACAGTACGGAAATCAGTTTAGACAGCAAAGCAGTTTCCTAGGAAAGGATAACAAAAAGAGAGGTGATGCACTCCAAGGAACCAAGGGTCAGACTGCAGTGAGGGCACAGTAGGCCGCCTTGCTGTTGTGCATTCCTGTGTAACTACAGGCAACAATCTTACCTACCAAGGACAGAGAGCATGCATAGAGAGTTGTCAACGAAATCCTGCCTCTGAGTCCAGGCAAAAGGAAAACAGCATAAAAGCCCATACTTCCCTTACATAGGGATAACCGATTAAACCTCATCAGAAAGCCACCAGAAACCCATCTCCATGCTCATCTTTAGCATGCACTTGCTACAGGCCTGTTACTGGAGATACTGGCTCCAGGGCCCTTACCTGCGCTGATGCTCCCATCTGAGCAGCTTGAGCCTGAGCTGCTTGCACTGCTGCTGCTGCCGCATGCTGCTGCTGGACCAGTTGTGCTCTTACCTTCAGTATAAGAAGACAGAACAAAGTAAATGCCGTATCTGATTAGGGTATGACACTTCTCTTTCAATTGCATTGAGTATACTCATAAAAAAGCTTTGTTTTGGATACAAGACTTCAGCTTCTTGCACCTACTTCTAGAACTGTTTTTGAACTTTCCATGATCTAACATTTGGAACAACCTTGTCATAGGCTGCGTACCCACAGTATGACTTCTTGCAACTCCTTTTTTTACTGTAAGGCCTTCCTATGACAATACTAGATATTCCAGCCTTCTGGCAAACATACAGATGTTGATCTCTCTCAAAAATACTATTCTAAGCACATACTAATGATCGCATTTCAACTATTTATACATTCATTGTGACAACTCAGAGGGATGCACACAACATCTAATACTCATAGATTAACTTGGTTTGGTAAGAGCTCAAAAACAGCTGACTAATGCAACAGTTTGAAAAGTTGCAACATTAACAGGATTACTCAGCTTCTAAGATGAACTAGTAAGATGTTCACAGTAATCATCTTCAAAGCAGGAACTACCAGTATCTTAAACTTAGACTAAATCATCTAAACACAGCAGCAGAAGCAAAATCAGCATGCTAAAGATCTGGCTTCAATCTTACGCACAAGGCATCTCAAAGCACTTGCTCATGTTCACGAATGCTAATCATCATCGCAGTGGTTTCTCTTGAACCAGAATTACAGAGGAAATTACTTTTAAAGCATCAGATTGATAAGTAGCTTTCGTAATTCAAAAATTCCTACTCTTTGTTGACTAAAAAAATCTTATTTTCTGCTGACCACATCATAATCTAACTAGAGGTTTCTTAATAAGCTATTCTTTTTCCTATGCTGTTATTAACAAAAATTTTTTTTACTTCTCCAGCAGATCATAATGAACCCACAATAAGCTGGTCACGAGCCCTTACCTGCATTGCTTTTAACTGCTGTGGCGTGAGAGTAACAGGCATAACCTGACCAGGAATTTGTCCAGAGATTGCCTGTGCCTGAGATACCATGGGCTGGGGTTGAGGCTGGGATTGTGGTGGAAGCTGAGATTGCTGTGCCTGAGCAACCTGTTGTTGCTGTTGCTGCTGCTGCATCTGTTGCATCTGCTGTTGCATTACTTGTTGAGGTGGCTGCTGCTGTAGCTGTTGCTGTGGTATTTGTTGCTGCTGTTGCTGCTGCTGTTGCTGCTGCTGTTGTACCTGCATAGCCTGTGCTGCTTGCAGCTGTTGCATTTGGGCAATTCGCTGTAGTTGCTGCTGCTGCTGTTGCTGCTGCATCTGAAAAGCAGGAAAAGCCAGGACAGTAAAGCTTCCAGCAATGCAATAGCAGCCTTATTTTTACAGAGTAAACCAACAGCAAACAGAATCCTAACGTGTCAGGTGGCATTTTCAAGTCTGTATATCCAGCTCTTTTATCCATTCACTTTTCAGATATCTCAACTCTACATAGTGCACATGACTTGTGGGTTTCACTATTACAAGCCTGCCTACATACACTAAAATAGTTTTCAAAGGCAAAGCTGAAGTCCATCAGCTTCTTCTGTAAAAATGGGCTTAGAAACACTTCTTAAATGTAACCAGGCTACATCAGCAACAACATTTACAAGAACTGCACAGAAGCATGACAGCTGAAGTTTCCTCTTCTGTTTTTCCGCCTAAAAATGATGCATACAAATTCTCAGTACACACTTTTTAAAGTAGCAATGTGCAATTCACAAGTGTGCTTTTAGTTCTGGTGTAGGGAACCTGCTTTGGCAGGGGGGTTGGACTCGATGATCTCTGGAGGTCCCTTCCAACCCCTACAATTCTATGATTCTGTGATTCTTTCCCACATCTTCAGTCTTGTCAGAATGAAACACAGTCCTGATGTTTATTAGGAGAAAGAGAGAAAGTGTTTTAATTCTCTACTGCTATAACAGAAGAAAGCAACCAAAAACCTCTATTGTCAAGTCTTTCCTCTGGGATGCAATGTATCATTGCCAAACTAAAGTCTCAAAGTGGAACTGTATTAATAATGGGAAGAGCTGATAATCAGTACTTCATGCAAGCAAAGCTTCACACGACTTGTAACTCATCACAGATCAACTTAATTGCCATTTTAATTATTTTGTCTTCACCTGCTGCTGGTTTTGCTGCTGCTGCATCTGCAGTTTCAACATGTGTTGCTGCTGCTGGACGGCTTGCAACTGCTGCTGTTGCTGCTGCTGCTGTTGGGCTGCTGCAGCTGCTGCTGCCTGCTGCTGCTGCACCTGAAACTGTTGTTGCATGGCTGATTGCTGGGCCTGGAACTGCTGTTGCTGCAAAGCCACCTGTTGCTGCTGGAATTGCTGCTGCTGCTGCTGTTGCTGCTGAGCTATCTGCTGAAGCTGAAGTTGGGCTAAAAAGGCGGTAGACTGTACTTAAAAACATGAAACCCAAACAAGACAAGAGACAGTTACACAGTACAATTTCACAATAATTAAAGATGCCCTGAAGTATGCAGATATTCTTCATGACCAGCATATAGTTTTGCATCCTCAAACGGAGAAGGTACATTAACAGCAGAATCAACAACGTGCCTCCCTAACTACCTCTACAGCTTGCAGCCTCTACTGAGTCAGCAACCAAATCACAGTGTAAAAAGGTGCAGAAGTTGTGCAGCTAAAAGATCTCCTGGAAGGACCACAATGGGAGCCACGGAATTCTCTGAGAAGCAGGAGTTCTTAATGGAAACATGCACAGAGGTCACTATCAGAAAGCACAGTAACCACAAAAAAGTAGATTCCATCGAACAAAGTTCTGAAGTTGACACCTTGGAGGATGGAAGAAGCATTTGCTCACAGAAGAGACAGACTCTCCCTCACTATGCTAAGAAAGACATTTACCCCAGTAGATAGAATTATTGGAAATCAACTCTTCCAGCAGAAGTCATAACCAGAAGTACAAAATTCCTTCAGCACCTTATCCTTGTGGAGAAGAGTTATTTACTGAAAGACCAACACAGCAGTTTCAGTGACTGAAACAGAGTGAATACTTACTCTGCTGAGTAGCTGTTGAGACACCAGGCATACCATGAGGGGCCATTCCCGTGCTTCCAGGAGGCTGTTGCTGTCCTGGGAGACTCATCTGCTGCCCCATTGGGCCAAGGCCACCCATCCCACTCATCGGTGCTCCTTGAGCTCGGGAAGCAATGGTCATTCCAGGCGCCCCTGCTGGGGGACCCCCAGTTAAATTCTGCAGGGCATTCATTGGATCTACAAAGAAAATAGTTACCAATATGCAGCCAGCCATGCAACTGCTTCCCCAGAATTCTGTTTTTCAGTACCCATTCTCTGATCTATTGGCTTCAAACCCTAATGAGATCCAAACCCTAACTCTCACTGCAAGCCTGCTACAGGCTTCTCACAGGTTTTTGCCTCTCTATAAACAGAGTGAAGATTATTTAAAGCGCTTCAGATTTGCAAAGTTCCAAATACATCCTAAATATATCAGACAAGGGAATTCTTTAGCCACCTCTGCACGTCTATTCAAGTCAAAACAGGATGCCAGCAAAGCCCCATGAGGATAAATAACTCATAATCTCAAAAACCAAGAACGAAGTTCCAACTACAGATTCAATTAACCTCCTCCTCCTGAGGAGCAGGGCTTAAACCAGAGAAAGTACTTTGTAGAGCAGTTCCCATAGTCCCCATCATAACGTTTTGATTTTATACATTGAATAAATTCAGTGCCTTTCAAGAGAATTATCACAATCTCAATCCTGGGCATGAAGAAAAGTGAAGTCAAAGCAATTCAAAAAGGCAAAATAGAACATGAGGTGCCAAAGTAGTATTGGTCAAGTACAGAATGCAACACACTCTCTTCCTTAGAATAATTATCAAACTATTTTGAACTGTTTAGTGGAGATGCTGATCAACCCCAGCCATCGCACAGTTAGCCTACAGGGGGATAATAATGATATACTTGTTTACTTCATTACTAGGAACACTACATTAAGTTCCTACTATAACTGCTTTAAGAGTTACCACAGAGGCAGAAGACACAAGAAGCTACTGTGGTACCCTTCCATCCTCCAGCTAGGAAATTCACCACCTTCTCAGCACATAAAAACCCCAGTTTTTGAGTTGTTCAATTTAGGAAAGGAAAAAAAGAACAGAAGAAAAAGATCTCTTACCACTGACTGAGGCTTGAGATTTCTTATTGTCTGCAAAAGAAAAATACATTAATTACATCTGTTAATCTTGTCACACACGGATTTGGCACTTCAGATATACTCTCCTTAAGAAACATACACACACACACACATATATCACTTCTTAAAAATCACTGTCTACTGTAATTATACCTATTCCCAAACAATTTATCCATAATCCCAGACAGCTCTATCATAGCTGTAACAAGCAGACTGGGAAAAACAAACAAACAAAAAACATCTCTGTAATCAAATTAAACAAACCACATTAAATCAACCAAATCTGGTAATCAGAACACTACATAAACATTGAAAAGAAAGCAAAAATACAGGAAAAATTAAAAGGAGGGTGCAAAAGTAGCAATTGTTTCTCAAAGGCTCTTAAATTATGTATGGATGCTGTAAAAGAAACAGTATTTAAAAATTCAGCATGTATATTACAGGGGAAAATTTTGAAGCAATCTGTGATGAGTCACATATAGAACACACATAAATCCTCAAATCTACTGTTATTTCCCATGTCTCTAATAAGCAATCACTGGGGAAAAAATGATTACTTACGGATATCTCGAAAATGGATAATAAGTCTGGCCACAAGAGAAAGATATTCCTCCTAAAGGCAAAAAGCAGCATTTTGGCACAGGATACAGAAACAGATAACTATGCCATTATAGCTCTTCAGTATTCGCCCTCAGCATTAACGAATCTTACTTTAAAAGCTCTGTGAGCTTCTCAGAGTAGTGTATTTGCACGGACTGACCTTCATGAGCCAAGTGGGAATGCTTTCACAGAAGGTTCATGGTACAAGAAGGCTCAAAAACACAAAATTCAATGGAAATAATATCCATGATAGCCACATTAATAGGATCACAGTATGTGTATTTGATTGTATACCAACACATCCATTTTCCATCCATTCCAGTCCTTTTCTTAAGTACTGAACTTGCTCATGCGGCATACTGACTCACGTTAGTCCTTTGTCACATTTACATTACAAGAGCTATTTTATGATGTTAATATTACAAAAGCAAGCAAGCTATTATATTTAACAACTAACATCCACAAGAAGTGCCAGAAGCAAAAGGACAAACAGCCTTTGCAGCAATTGATGAGTGTGCTGCAAACTGCACAAAAGGATCTGTCACAGTGCTGGGATGACCCTTCCAGGGTCAGAGAGGCTGTTAGCAGGAATAAACTTGTGACGTAAGCATCACAAAACTTTCAACATCACAAGTTCCACCTCAAACACATGCTTGAAGGCAGTAACAGTAGTCAATTTCCTGTAACAGAACTCCAGGAAAGAAGCTCACACATGTGGGTAGAGTCTAGAATTGCACACAATAACCAGATTTCCACAGAGACCACAGAACTTCTTGTCTTACTCCTAACGCATCCTTTTCATTGTTATCTTAATCCCCCTCCACCACCACACTGGTTATTATGGATAGTGCTACACTGCAGATAAAGAAACTTCTATGCAATTCACTCTGTAAGAGTTTAATCAAGCACAATCCCATACGTGCATTCAATGCTGCAGTCTCAGCACGCCCCTTGGCTTGAAATCCACTTTGCTGCACCCACAAGATGTAAAATGATTAACTTTCCCCCAGCGTAAGAGGAACACACATAAACCCAAAATCTTCATAACTGGGTGCTCTGAGCAGAGACCAATTCTTAACATGCATTGGATTTGCTGTTTCTGTGGTTCGTTCCAAAATTTTGACATACCAGTAACTTCTGAAAATAAACAGAGAGGTTTTACCCTTGTTTTGGCCTTCATAAACACATGGCTCTCCATATCCTTGCTGGACTTATTGTGGGCAACACCGGCCTTCCTCATTGCTTCATCACTGGAAAAGAAAAAGAGAAGAAATGAGGCTGGGCACTAACTGAGGACGTTAAATATATATATATTTCCTGCAGTTAGAAAGGTCTGTACAGTAGCTTTTTACCCTCTTCTAAACATAAAGTAGAAAAATTAGAAGATTGGTAGAATATCTCTGCCTTCAGGCAATGAGCAGTGATGAGGAGCTGGAGCATTGATCAGGACACAGAAGGGCAGCTGTGCACAGCAGGAGGGGACAATCAGCATGACAGCAGCAGATGAAGCAGGAAGATGAGAAGCCTTATTGATGGAAGTTGGTCATAAAAAGCTTCCCCCCCCAATCTTACTGTTCTCTACCACCCAAAATCACACAGCCATCAAACCTCTAGTAAACTGGACCTAGGTCTGCCCTTTGGATGGGACATTAAAAATGTAAGATGAAAAGGAAATAAATCCCCCACACAAATGTTCTCTGCTATGGCAGAGAACAACAGGCATTCTCAGTATATCAAAAAGAAGCAAGTAACTCCACTGCAAAAAAATGCACTGAGATAAACAAGTCCTAAAATCAGCAGTTCAGACAGGCAAACAGCCCTCCCTATTCAAATCCTACAGACATATTTGTTTTTGGAAATGTCTCGTTCACTGTAAAACCTGTTCTGTTTTAAAGCAGCCTAGTAGCTACAGTCTATATTCCACAAACAAGTTACCAGGAAATACCTTCACCTTGTAATTAATAGCTTAGCAACTTATCTCTCAGTACCTGCTCCTGCACGAGCAACTATCCTACACTAAATGCAAGGTAGGGAAAGCTTCAGCCAGCCTGAAACAGATTACTGTTTTCTTCCCCCTGAATTCTGACCACATTCCTTGCAGCAGGGCTGGTGTTTGTATGAGCAGTGGCCTAGCTCAGCTTCCTGAAATAACTCGGTAAACCCTTCACACAAGTGAGCAGAACAGATGCAACAGCCTCAAAATGCAGGAGCTTCAGTTGACACAACTCACACCCTTACCATGCAGAGCAGCAGGCAAGGAGTGCATAGCTATTTCTTTGCAAGACACAGCAGGTTAGTCAGTAAAGCACAGCTACCTGCACAAGCCTCCCTCATGGTCACTTGCTCACGTGGCCTGACAGACACTACAAAATGTTCTTTATACATAAAGGTCATTTAAAACGAAGCAGACTCTGAGCATAAAGCAGAATAATTATTCTTTCGTGGGCAAGCAAGCCTTAAAATGAACAACTCATAAAGGAACTCTGTTGCAGTGGAAGAAAATGCATCCAGTTCTTCATTTATGCCTTCCTTCTTCCAGTAGTTTCTCTTTCAGAAAGGTTTCCTTCCTCTAAGTCCACACCATGCTCTGACTCATCAGTAACTTGTTAGTCCTACTATAAAACATCTCTTATTTTGAGAGCACCAAGAACTGAGCAGGCAAAAAGACAATGTTATGCAAATGCAAGTAAAGAAAGTAACACACAGATAAGTGGCCACAATACAAAGACAGTGACCAATGTGGTGTTAGGATCACAAAAAAAATAATCCATAATAAATAACTTACTTACTCTTACATGTACATCCATCTACCATTTATTTTTTGCATTCTAGAGCATTACAAAGGGCACACCGCTGGCTCACATACAACTTGCTGTCCAGCAGGACACCCAGGTCCTTCTCTTGGAGCTCATTTGTAACAGTTCAGCCCCTAACCTGAACTGATGCATGCAGTTATTCCTTCTCAGTTTCCCAAACATCTGGGGTCAGAATCAGCCACGCACAATGCTGCTTTTGGCTACAGAGGAGAAAGCAAAGGACTACCCAGATTCTGCACAGACTTACTTCTAGCTTTATTCTTCTTTCCACTATTTCAGCGAGGAAAATCACCTTCCTGGTGCGCATAGAATCAACCCTCTCATAGCTTCAAAAACTCCGCGAGCCTTCCCTGCCAGGTTATGCCAACACAGTTGTTGGTGTGGCTGTGTAATCAGCAGTACTAAAGAAGAACCCAGCTGAGTGCTGAGGCATTCCTGGATCCAACAAGAGTCCTGTGCGACTGCTTGGGCCTGCAGTCACACAACAACCCAATATTAGATGGAGCTACTTAAGTCAAATGCAGTCTTCTCTCAAGTGATGACAACCAAATGACGCACACCGATTGCAGGTACATTCACTAAGACACCAATTGCACACAGCATCCCTGAAATTTCTCCTCATATAATGTCATTCTAAATATCTAACTATCTGTATGTACCTATATGTATCTTAACATTCAGAGTTGGAAGGGAGATGCAGGCGAAATAATAATAAATTAAGACTTCCACATTCAGTGGCTATAATGAGGTACTCAAAACAAAGTATGCAAATCGTTCCATGCTTTTAAGATCAAGTTGACACATACCTATCACTTACATTTGCACAGTGAACTGGAAGACATATATACACAAAAGCCTGTTATGAACAACCTTCTCACAAGCTCAGAAAACTTTCAGATGACTCATTTCTTCCAAATACTACATAAGTTTCACTGGAAGAAAACTGGAACTTGCTACACACAGAGTTCAAGTCTTTTTAGGCAATATATTGCTTCTATTTTTCATTCAATAAAACTAACTATTATAAACTCTACTTCTGGGGTAGCTTTGCTTTATTTTAAGTGCCAACAAGAAATTTATTTTCAGATATCTAACACATAGTAATACACTTTAAAAATTAAAAAAAAAAAAACAACCAAACACTGCAATCACTGCACGCTTATCCCAAACAAATTTGCTTGCTCTTAAAATGAGCTAGTGAATGAAAACATAAGAAGTATTACTACAAAGCAGGGTGGAGTACAAGGAAGATAGGCTGCCTGCAGAACACAGCCTTTGGGGAAAAAAAAAGACTGCATCAATACATTTACAACAAAAAGTACACAGATCATAAGAAGATGTCTGTGTGTATCTGCAAGTGTTTAAGCAAACAGAAGAAATATTAACTCTACTTTCTCCACTATTGTCCTATTCAATCTCTGTCTCTCACTGTATGCTCCCCATTCAAACATTTATCATCGCTGCTTACTGCTCACAGAAAAACAGTCACAATTTGCAGAGCAAACACACAAACAACAAATGCTCACTGCATTAAGGTTTGTATCTGCCGATTCGTATTCATTTCCTTTAAGTCTCAGGGCACTGCAAGGCAGTTCTGTTTGCTCGTGTTGATGAAGAAGTACAAAACAAAAGAGGAAAACGCAAGAGATTCACCTGGCACAATAAACTGTCTTGCACAAAGTTTAGACAGTAAAACATCAGCTCTGAACAGCAAAAAAGCTTTGACAAGCAAACATCGTATCTGTCATGAATACCAAAAAATTAACTCTGAAACACCAGTCAGGAAAGCCCTGCCTTCAAAAGCCACGAGGCATGCTCAGAGTTCTTCAAGCATTCATAAATAAGGATTTGAAAAGGACTCTCAGTTCTATGATAATCAGCTTTCATAAGGTAAAAGAACCTTCTCTGTAATAGGAGTATCGGGTTGAGCAGCAAAGTAATTCAAGTAAAGATTGCTTCACAGTGGACAGCCAAAAAGGCTGAACTTTATTCCTTTTAAGCAACCTTTCTACATCAGGCAGATACCAACGAACACACAAGAACTGCCACAGCAACCCCCCATTCCAAATTACCAACAAATTCAGTTGCTGACATTTTCATTTCGTTTTTGCTGTTTACAAGTCAGATGCAAGGTAACGATGGTGGTTTTCATAGAACAGAGCATGTGAGACTGGGCAGCACTAAGCATCACAAAGTGGAAACCCTAAAACAGAGGCTCCCCAGCAGGCCAAGCAGCCGCTATGCCCGGGGAGGAGGAAGGCAAAAAGCAACGGGGATCGGAGAAGCGAAGCCAAACGGGGGCCGGCTCCCCCGGCACGAGATCTGAGCAGGAGCCGGTGCTAAAGGCCCCACACATGGATAGCGACAATCACGGACAAAGCCAGAGACCTGCGAAGGACCCGCGGAGAGCGCAGACGGGCGAGCCACAGCCATTCGAGCACGGGCAGCCCCGGGGCGGCGGGAGGCGCCGGAGCCGCTCCGGCAGCGGCCGAGGCGCGGCCTAGCCAACACCCGGGCCGGAGCGCACACTCACATCTGGCTGACGAGCTTCTGCCGGAAGTTGGTGCTGCGCCAGTCGGTCTCGGGCCCGGTCACGTCCATCCCAGCCGCCGCCGCGCTCCCCGCCCGCTGCCGGCCTTCACTGCCACCCCAGCGCCGCGCTCCTCACCGCTGCTACCCCACACGGCAGCCCGGAAGTCGCGCGCCACCACTTCCGGCGTGCTGAAGGCCGGAGGGAAATGAAGTCCAGGCGTTAGCCCTGGAGAGTCTCGCGAGAACAGCCGCTCGGCGCGGGGTGCGCCGGGATTTGTAGTCCCCTTCCACGCAACCCGTCTGCGGGAACGGCCCGGCCGGCCCCGCTCAGCGCACAGCCGCACTGCGCAGGCGGCGGTCCTGAGTGCCGCTGCTGCCCGGGGACGCCGCCGTGCCGGCGGGTGTCCCGGGTCCCGCCCGCCACGCCCGGCTCCAGCCGCCATCCGCCCCTCCTCCGGCGAGCGGGCGCGTCAGGCGGGGGCGCCGCGGTTCCGGGGCGCATGAAGGCGGAAGCCGCAGGCGGAGGCCGCCGCCGCCGCTCTCGGTAAGTGGTGGGGCGGAGGGGGAGGGGGCGGCGCCGGGCTGAGCTGAGCTGACTCTGGAGGAAGGGGCGCGGGGGGGCCGGGCGCGGGCTGGGGGGCCGCCTCGTCCCAGCCCCGCGGGGTACGTGGGGTGAGCGAGCCGGGGGTGCGGGTCGGGCCCGAAGGCGGTGTCGGCAGGGAAAGGGAAAGCAAAAGCAGAGCTGTGCTTGAACTGTCCTTCACTCCGCCGTCACACGGCTGGGGGAGAATCAAAGCGAAATGTGAGCTCCGGGTAGCATCTCCTGCAGAGAAAACTGCGCGTTCTGTTTTCCTGGCGTTCAAATATGTGAGTGACAGGGGGAAATAACAGCCAAACAACGCAGGTCCTTGCAGGAAAGAAACAAGCAAACATGGTGAGCAGTGCAAATGAATTCCTGTTTAAAACAGAAAGCAGAACTGGAATGTGTTGGAAGTGCCCTCTGCTCTCCACCCGGTCACTTAATTGTATTTGGCACAGAACTAATTACTTCTTTAACGTTTTTTCTTCCGTGTACTTTAGGTAATTAAAAATACATGATGTGACTAAAGTAGTTGAACAAAGCAGCCTTGCCAGCTCGCTCGAGAGTCCCAGAGCACATACCACTGGCTAACTGAAGCTGTGTTTTGGCATAGTAACTATGCCTGGTTCTATGGAAGGTTGACAGATCTCTGTAGATGTAGAGCTAAACATTGAGGACCGCACTCCATCCTCAGACTGGAGAAAGCTGAAGCCTTAACGTAGGTTTGAGGATGGGCAGGTACATGCTGTCTAAACATAGCTGTTCCTCCTCCAAACACAACAGCAGCTCTGTCCAAACCAGAAAGTAGAGAGAAGGAAATGTTGAAGTCTCTGGAGAAAGCACTGTATTGAGATTGTTATCTCATTGTATGAGATAGCACTGTATTGAATTTGTTTCCCTTACTGCAACTTCCCTTCCGTAGTTATTAGGGCCACAGGCCACCTCCCAAAAATACCCATCAGAAGACTTCACAGCTCCATGAATTTGGGCAGGCTACAAGAAAGACATGATCAGTTTGTGAGTAGTGCAAAATCATAGAAAATATTCAAGTTAGGCAGCTCTTTAGGTTATCCTGCTTTTGGGGGGAAAAAAAAATCTTTTAAAATATTTGTGTGCCTAAATATGGATAGATTTCATGGAAGTTTTGCCATATCTATGTTAAATAAGATGTTTTAGTCTCAGTGTGTCTTAGAAATACATTGTAAAAGGCAGCATGGGGAGGAAAAAAAACCCCAAACTTTTGTTTCTGAAAGGAATGAATACCAACATTTGTGAGACAGCATCATTTGCAGAAGCTGTTTCCCAAATCACACCTTTAGGTTCCCTCCCACACTTCAAATATACTACTAATGCTAGAAACTGAACATGACTCAGAAATTCAGCTTGGAGGGATGTGCTTGCATGTCTGCATTGGTGACTTAGAGAAGATGGCGTGTGTAGGCCTAGCAAAAACGTAACTCCCATCACTGAGTGCTCAGAACTAAATCAGATGCCATGTGGTTCCAGGTACCATTGTTTCTTTTTGTGAGGACCTTAGGCTAAAGGAATTGTTTGGGTTATCTCCCCTACTTGTAGAAGGTTCCCTAAGTTAAAAGGTACTTGAGGAAGATATATTTTTTTCGCACAGTTTTGACTGCGCAGAGGGATAATTCTGAAAGAAGCCCTGCTGCACAAAGCTTGCTTTTCTTTCATACCTCCTCTCTGTCAATTTTCTTCAAAAGCCATGCAGCTAACTTAACTCTGTCTACACAAAATGGTATACTCACATTCTTACATAGCAAACTTGCAAGTGCCCATTGCAAATCATGGTATAGTTGGTAAATCATTCCAGTATTTGCACTCTAGTTATGCTGAACAATAGTTTTGCTTTTCAGTTTACATTGTTTGTGGCATTACATCTGTTTTCTCAGCTATTTTGGCAGGCACCCAGCTGCCTCCCCACTCTACACGCTCCCTGACTAGTTGATTTATTTGTTTGCATGCCCTCTGCCCTGCTGAATTCTGGTACCTCGCCAGGTTCTGCCTATTCACATTTGCAACCCCTGAGAGTCAGCATAACTAGCATTTTGTTCTAGTCTTGTATCTTGCTGTCTCGTATCAGGCTGTCAGCTGAAGGCTGGCTTAGATCCTAATTCTTGCTACTCCCTTGGGAGACATGGAGGTGTGGGAAGCCTTAGGGCATGGCTGTTACATTCCCTTCGATGTACAAGGTGAAGATGAAAGGGCAAATCCCATAAACTGCAGGAACAGAATTCAGACAGGATAAAAAAGAAAACAAGCCTGCTGGTCAAGCACTCAGTTTTCCAAATATCACAAAGGATGGATATTCTGCACTTGACTAGACACAGCTATCAGCATCCCGACCTCATTTTTAAGTTCTCTCTGCTTTGAGCAGGAGACTGGACTAGAGACCTCCCAAGGTTCTCTCCAGCCTGAATTATTCCACAGTTTTAAGAAAGTGTTGGACCCCCACCAGGCTTGAACCACCTGTCCATATGGCAGCAAGCTAAACAGCATTAGGATACCCGACACCAGCAAGTCCTAGTTTATTTTGGGCACAGCTGATGCAGAAGAAAATATCATGATCTGCGTAAGATACCTCCTCATATACAGAGATGTAACTGACAGCCAGAAGCAATTTGATACAAAAATGTCTGAGTTTCCATAGGAACTAACTTGGTTACTCCCCCTCCTGTAACCAAGCTCTCAGAACAGCCCACCACCCCCAGCACACACTGGTAGGCATCACTGTGCAACTTGGATGCTAGTCACAGAATCCAGGGCTCTGTTGTACCATGCAATATCAATAATAGGTTTCAACACACTGAATCATCAACAGTCTGTTTAAAGCATGTGATCACTGCATATCTCAGCAAAGTGTAAAGGCTGAATATACCTATACTGACATCAGGATGTACCCAGAACATGCCCAGACCCAGCTGCTGGAAGGTACAACACAGATTATTTTGTAGGGAAGCAGGACAGCAGGACTTTGTTCTCAGTCTCAGGAAGCATATACTGTAAGCTGATAAATTGCCACTCCTCAGGTTGGTCTTCAGTGGAGCAGTACACAAACATCTTGGTGTTAAAGTCCCATACCACACCTATTTTAGCATACCTTTAATTTTCCCTTTCCCCATTCTAGTTGAGCTACCCCACTCCTGTACCCTGTGTTCTTCAGCAGTTTTTCAGTGAGCACAAGAGCAAGCCAGCATCCCAGTCTCACCATGTTGCTATTTGAATGATCAAGCTACAATGTCAACTCTTCCTGTCCCACTGCCAAGTTCCTCCCTCATAGGCTGCATACCTTTAGCGTAAAGGCAAGTACTGTCATTGATCAGGAAGAGGATTTTGTTAAAACACCAAGCCACAGTTCTTTTCATACATTGATAAACAGTTACTTTAGTTGAATAATTATTTTTTCTTCCATGCAAATGTTCTGCAGAAACATTCTGTGATAATGAAGATTGAATACAAGACGATCACAGAGCTATCAGCAAGCCTCTAAAATATTTAGCTTCCAGTGCACCCACAGCTTGTTTCAAGAGATAACCAATAATAAAATGAACTTTGAGCGTAGTATGGGAAATACTCATTTCCTTCAGATGCTTCCTCTGTCTCTATGGTTGCAAGACACAGATGCTTTCTCATGGTTTCTAAATAGAATCCAGGCACAAAATAGAGAAAATTTCAGCCTATTGAATAAGAGCATTTGTGTTGTGCTAGATAGCTCTGAAGATTTTGAGTTTAGTTTTTTTGGAGGGTGATTGTATTTATTCTTATATATTCTTGATGTGAAGTGACCAAGCAGAATGTGTCTTCCCACATTAGCATTGTCTGTACAAGTGCACACGTAATTACTGACCTCATATACCTCTTTTCTCTTTATGCACTAGATATTCAGTTGTAGTACCCCAATATTACTCAGTCCACTAACCACTAACTTTGAAAGATGAATACAAACCAACCTATCCGTAGGACTTTATGCAGCCAGCTAAGAAAGTCCCTAGGCTGATTTTATCTACAGTTTTAAGGCGCTTAGAACAAGAGTTAGAACAGAACTTGCCTTCCCTTGTTTCCGGAGACAGAATCCCACAGCATGTGAGAAGATGCTTTTTGTCATTGCTGCTGTTAAAGAATTCATCTCTTCCACTTGAAGGTCAGTTCTGCAGTTCTCAGCTCCTGAGTCACACAGTTAACAGCTGCCCAACATCAATAAGGAAAAAGGAAAAAAAGACAAAATACTAAATTTCTAGGGACGTTACTCCGTCATGGACCAAGTTTCTCAGTAAGAAAAGTAGAACAGAAATGCCACAAGAACATTCTGCTCTCAAGAAGCTGATGCTAGAGAGACCCACAACAGAAGAGACTCAGCTGCATGGTTCAAGGGACTGAAATGGCAAGGAAAGGCCTGCCTACAGCTCCTTCACTGACAAGGGTGGATATGCTAGCCTGTGAAAATGGCTTACAAGACAACAAAGTTCATGCATGGTCAGGAAGAAAAAATAGTAAATAGAAGGTTTTCTGCAGCATGCAGGAAATTGAACAAGTCTGTTCTGTACTTTCATTCACAGCTGTACCCCTTGTACTACATTTAGCCATTTTATTCCTCCCTCTACAGGGAAGACTGAGCAAAATGCAGATTTGAGATGGGGTTAGATAATGTACAGTTACAATAAAGCCCCTTGTCATTTTTAAGATTGACAGATGCTGACAAGGCACAAGAATTCCTAGATATATTAGCAGTGATTCCAGGCACCCAGCTGGTACGCTGCACATGAAATAGCACACTTCCACTGCTGGGCTATCAGATTTTAGGCAGTAACAAAGGCACAAGACACACTAGAGAAAAACTGCAGTTAGACCACATAGCCTGCAAAGCAAGACATTGTTGTGCTAACGTGATACCCCTCTGTAGCAACTTCATAGTCTATATTTAACACAGTAGAGACATACAGAACATTATCAATTAACCAAGAGCACTGCACTTAGTTCAGAAAACCAGAACACCAACCCAATTTTCCCCTACCCTCACTCAAGCAACCACTTTCCACAGCTGTACCCACCCAATCCCAGCTGTATAAGCTGCCTCTTATACAGCTGAGGGCACTCAGTATATCAGATAAGTGATTCCTTCTGCTCATCCCCCACTCACTGTTCAATGGCAAGTAGGCAACAATCCATGGAAATAATGTAATATATATTAATATGTAATTAAGCTACTTCTACAACGCGTGCCTTTGCTAAAATTTGTTGTGCAGAAGCAACATCCAGTTTAGCTGTAGCACATCACACTTCTTTTCTTCTGTAGCCTCACTTCCACCTACAACTGACACACACTTAGGCTGCATCAAAGGTCATGCTGTTTTCTCTACCCAACAAAAGTCTAACAATTCAGAAAACAGCTCATTTATTACATGTACTTCTGCTTTTTGTTGCAATTATTTCACTCTTTAGAGGCTCACTTTGATACAACTCCCTAATTTGTTGAAAAGGTACATTTTTTTTGAGCATTAGCCACATTAAAACACATCAACTCTGTACAAGTGGTTTGTTTGAATTTGTTCCTCATTTGGACAGTATCTTAGCCTAATTTGTTTTTGCTGTATTTATTCTCTTAGTGAATTTCTGATCAACACCTAGTAATGCTCACTCCTTCGCTTGCCTTTTCTTTTAATATTATCTGCCTTGCCTCAATCTATCACTCGTATTTCCCAGGAGCAAATAAAATGATACAGTAATGTTTTGTCTGCTTCAAAGGCAGTCATCTTATTTCTAGGAAAAACATCTACCTGTCATGAAAAAGAATCCATTATTCATCTCTTCAGCTGATGATGGATAGCTTCCCTGTATAATCGACCTGAATGTGCTTCCTAGAAGGCAGTCTCATCAGGGCTTTCTTCTGAGCTCGTTGCCCTGGTTTTGCTGGTAAAGAGCAGACAGCCATTAATATACATTTGCAATTTTGTTCCATCCCACCCAGGAAGCAGTGGCACCTAGCCTCCTTTTGTTTTGGACAGCATAAGGTGACTTCCTTAGGCAGTGCAATAACTGTTTCCATATTTCTTAGTGCCATCCAGACAGCTTCTTCCTCACTGACCACACACAGAATACCTTGCAGTACTTTGGGAGATTCCTAACATGGCATTCCCTGTCTATGGCTGGTACAATTAGCAGTGGTTTCATCTCTTCACTGGTTGTTTGGATTTGTTCTGCTTTTGCTTTTCTGACTGCTGATGGTTCCTTGTGACTGTTCCTCACACCCTAAGCTATTTCCCAGAGCCACTGGAGGAGAGGCTGTTATAACTGTGCCTTAAGCAGCCATGTCAGCTAAGGCATTTCCTTTTGCTAATGTGTTTTTTTGAGTGTCTGCTCTGACAACTAGGTATAGCCCATCAGATCTAACTGCTGCAACTTCTCACATTCTTCAAAGACAATAGAAAGGGTAAATTACAGGATGCTAACAAAGGAATTAGGAGATTTTGAGAGCTTAACTACGGGCATGAAACAATAACTTCCAGCTAGCTTTTTACAGGCATTTCCCCATATGCTGTAAGGATCTTCCTGTAGTGTCAGTGGCAGCAGTACAAAGATGTATGGGATAGCCCTCAACAGTGCCTACACCAAAGGAAATATCCCCTCTGCAGAGACCCACAGTGAAGTCAAAAGGAGTTGTACATGCTAGCTTGAAGTCAGCACAGTAAAGAAGCTCACTGCAAAGCCTGTAGTCTCAGATGGTATTGTATAGACTGGAAATGTGCTCAGCTAAGGAAGATAAAGCATAAAACAGGAGAGAATAAAGCTTTCAGATTCTGTGGTATAATATCAAGCAAAAGACCGAAGGTGCAGGTTTGTTTTTTACAACAAAGTTATTTGAGGATATTAGGCAATGTGGAATTTGGGAAAAATTGTGAGAGATCTGCTGTTTGTTACAGACATCATAGAAATGCAAAGGAAACAAGGGGTTTGGCAATAGGTTGGGAAGTGAAAATACGTGTACATCCCCACATGCAGCATACTTTTGGACTGGAAAACCAGGAGTCAAAAAATCGTTAGTAATGCCATGTTTTGCCAGGTTGACATGCTGATACATCCCTGCCTACTTTCCATATCATTTGGGATAATTTCTCTTGGGTAGAATTGTTTTTGATGGTTCTCCTTTGGCTGAAGAGTTGGTTTGATTTATTTACTGTGATAGATGAGTCAGAGGACCGTTTGTAAGCAAAAGACACAAACCTTTGCTGATTCTGTTGTCTCACAGATTTCATTCTGCTGCAGCTTTTGGCTGAACATTTCTGCCTGGGATGGCGGAGGATCAGGAGCTGACTCAGCCACACAAAGCTCAACTCGAGTCCTCCCTTCAGCAGCGCACCAGCAACACATACCGCAGTGCGGAGCACTCTCAGGCTTTGCTCAGTGGCTTGGTATCTCTCCGAGACAGCAGCATCCTCTTTGATGTAGTTCTTGTAGTGGAAGAGAAACCTATTGAGGCTCATCGGATACTGCTAGCTGCATCTTGTGACTATTTCAGGTATGCTTTCAGTACAGCAGTAACAAGCATGTGTATGAGCGTAAAGCAGCATTGCAACTTCCAAATCTTCTGTTAGCACACTGCGCACGCTGCCTCCTGATGTAGAATTAGATCCACAAGGTAGAGCTGAATGGGTTTCAGAATGCTACGAATGGCTTTATTCAGCCTTCTGTTATGTGTCTGTAGAAATAAAGCTCCTGTTAGTGCACTGTGAGCTTACCTCCACTACATTCACAGCCTTGGAGGTATGTAAAGGGGAGAAGATAACTCACTCTATTTTTGTGAACAAATAAATCCGAAGGCAGTCCATACAAATCTGGAAGAACTGCTCTAGCTTAGAAAAACTCAAGTTCCTGTTTTTCTCTTCCCCCATCCCTGGAGTTATCTGCCTTCACCCACTGCCTATCCCTATGTACTGAGTCTGTATTTAAATCCTTCCACTGTGAATTACACCTTTCAGGTAGTCCCCACTGTTTTCCTTCAGAATGAGAGGTATTCCTTTCTTAGGTCCTGGAAGTCTGTGCTTTTTGTATCATCGTCTTACAAAAGAGGTAATCCCAAAGAAGTATCTGACTAGGATTTATCTTTTTGAATATTTTGTTATGTTCTCAGGATAGCATAAGAAAAGGGGGGGGTTGGACACAATGATCTCTAGAGGTCCCTTCCAACCCCTACAATTCTGTGATTCTGTGAAAAGCAAACTGAACACAGTTTTTTTTTTACAGAGGAATGTTTGCAGGAGGACTGAGAGAGATGGAACAAGAAGAAGTTCATATTCATGGAATCTCCTACAACGCAATGTGTAAAATCTTGAATTTCATTTATACTTCTGAGCTGGAACTCAGTGTCAGCAGTGTACAGGAAACCTTAGCTGCAGCCTGTCAGCTTCAGGTGAGGTGCTGGGAGGTATGATGAAAAAGAAGCAAGAAACAAAAGAATGAAAGAAACAGAAAACATGGCTGGAGGGCTAGGGAGTGAAACAGAGCATGATTCCAATGAGAAGAATTTCTTTGGGATGCAGTAACCATTGGAAGTGCTGGAACAATGAACGAGTGCTTGCATGTCTGATCTGTGCTATGGTTTCATCATCATTTTGTCTAAAAGATTATTTTATGAAGCACTCACTTTCACTGGTCAGCATATAAAAGCTTCCCTAGAATAGAATACTGCTCACCTCTGATAAAGGACAAGGTGTGCTCCTCAGAAACCATTGTGCTGCTTAAACCTGCCAAGATCTACCCCAGATTGAGTCCACAGGCACATAACCTTACCTGACCTCATCACTGCCACCATGGTTTCTGCACAAAGTGCCTTTTGCTTTCAAGGCAGTTCTTTTTCTCTAATTTTCCCTACAGCTAATTGCTGCACAGGATTTGGTACTAACCTTAAACTTTCTGGGTGCTTTGGTTGGCTACACACTTAGCATCAGTTTGTTAGTGGAGGGACTCTTGATCAGTTGTTACTTTGCCAGGTGTCCTCATGCCAGATACAACTTCAGATAGTACTCAGAAGACAACACTAAATGCTAATGTTCTCAAATGGCTTTTTATGCACTTGAGTGATGCAGATATTTTTGTTATAGTTACAATCTGTGATATAGCGTGTCTGTAGTGCTCTGAGAGAGCAACTGAGGGAGCATCTGTTGCCATGTCCTTCATGCCTTTTGTTTCCATGACTGCCTCCCAGGCAGCCTTCATCTCTCATGTTAACAAATGAGGCAGCCTGGCTGTTCAGTATCCCATGTGCCCCAGAAGATGCATTGCTGCTACACGAGAAGCAAAACTCAAAGGCTTGCAGTATAGTGTGGCTAGAAGATCTGGGTTACATTCATCTGCGTACCCAAGTTGAGTTGTGATTTTTCTCTGGAAAAAGGTGAACATGGCAGTCAGATTGTGAGAAGAACAATTTTCTTGTCAACAACTTTTTTACAGTTTTTGGAAGCTTCCAAAGCTTGGAAGTTCTATGCTTCTGTCATCTGTATCTTGGAACGTAAGGCAAATGCTGTATGAAATAAAAGATTTCTCTCTCTTGCAGATTCCAGAAGTCATTAAGTTCTGTTGTGATTTTCTAATGTCCTGGGTAGATGAAGAGAACATCCTGGATGTATACAAACTAGCTGACCATTATGACTTGAGACATTTGAGCGATCAGCTGGACTCCTACATTTTGAAGAACTTTGCAGCTTTCTCAAGGACACAAGCATACCGCCAGCTACCCCTGCAGAAGGTCTACTCCCTGCTCAGTAGCAACCGTTTGGAGGTTAACTATGAATTTGAAGTTTATGATGGTGCACTTTTTTATCATTATTCTCCAGAGCAACTGGAGACAGATCAGGTCTCCCTGATGGAGCCCCTTAAGCTACTTGAGACAGTTCGATTTCCTCTGATGGAACCCCAGATCCTGCAAAGGCTTCATGACAAATTAAGTCCATGTCCTTTAAAAGATACAGTCGCAGATGCATTAATGTACCACAAGAATGAATGTCTTCAGCCAATGCTCCAGAGCTCCCAGACACAGCTGAGATCAGAGTTCCAGTGTGTAGTGGGATTTGGAGGGATGCATTCTACTCCATCCATTGTTCTCAGTGATCAAGCCAAGTATCTGAACCCCCTGTTGGGAGAGTGGAGGCACTTTACAGCTGCACTAGCCCCCAGAATGTCCAACCAGGGGATTGCTGTTCTCAATAATTTTGTATATTTAATTGGCGGAGACAACAATGTAAGTGGTTTTCGAGCAGAGTCGAGGTGTTGGAGGTAAGATAAGGATAATCCTGCTACTATTCTCATTTCCACCCCATTGTCCATCTCTGAGTCAGTAAGCCTTTAGTGCAGTCTGTATGCTTGCTGGCAAAAAAGATAGGAACCTCTCACTGAAAGAAATAATGAGAAATAAGGAAATTAGCATCATAGCAACAGAAAGCTTCCAGCCATGCCAGTCCTGACTGCGTAGAAACAGCTGCTTATTCAGGAGTATTACAGCCTTCTCTTCTTTGTTGGAGGGAGTGAAGTATTAAAGGTGTGGAAATGGTAATGAACTAGAATTTTCCAGAATCCTAGACTGTCTAGATGCTCTTGAAATGAGATTTTCCAAAAGTCCTCTGTGTGCAGTTCTCATCCCTGTGCAAAGGGATTTAGCCACCAGAAAGGATTTGTTAGTAAAATGCTGCTATTAGTTAATTACTGAGAAAATGCATGCACAGTAGCAGCATTCCAGGGTTGTCTTCAGTTCTGTGCCAGAAAAAAATGCACTGGAGAAAGGAACAGTTTTAGATCTTGATGCCCATTACATTGCAAAAACAGATACAAACCCTTTTGATTTTACAATGTAATCATCTTATCTTTACTAGTTACAGTGGAATTGCCCTGATTTCATGCCACGCACATCTTCCCTTCACCATCAGCTGTCACTGTAACTACAATTTCCAGATTGGATAGATCCTTATATCTGAAAATTAATCATGAGGCTTACTTGAAGCAGCACATATGTTGGAAAAAAAGAGTCAAAGAAGCCACAAAATGCTTATGCACCCTCTTGATGTCTTGAAGATCCAGATTCAGTCTGTGCTACTGTTAGAATGTTTTACCTTGTAGAATGGCTTTATGCTAACAGATTTTGATGCATAATCTGAAGGCACGTATAAGACAATAGAAAACCTAGGCTTTTATAGCATGATTGTATCAGCTGAAATACATCTTCTAAAAATAGACAAAAAGAACTTTGCTAATAATAAGATGCTGACAAGGCTGTATTTCACTCCACTTACAGCTGAATTTAATTTCAACCAAAGACAGTACAATAACCCCATGTGTGGTGCTGTCTTGTATTCCAGCAATGATTCTGTGGATGTATGAATCACTTCCTTTGATCCCATTCTTTTATAAGGTATGACCCACGACACAACAAATGGTTCCAGATCCAGTCCCTACAGCAAGAACATGCTGACCTCAGTGTTTGTGTTGTGGACAATTATATATACGCCGTCGCAGGCCGAGATTACCATGAAGACCTGAGAGAAGTGGAGAGGTATGACCCTAAAAGCAACACTTGGGAATATGTGACACCTCTGAAGAAGGAGGTAAGGAGTGCGTTAGCCACACGCACTGATACAGTTCCCCAGTTCCTAATTTCATCTTTTTAGGTGCTTTTCTTATGCATAGCTTTCATTTTGCTGATACTCACATGGGAAGCTACTTCTGTATTTGAGATAAACATACCAGTAAAGAATAATAATAATGTAGAACTTTAATTTTTAGGTTTAATGCTTATATTTCTTGTTTTCTCCCTGTTTTCCCCTGCACCTCTGTTGTATTAATCCTTAAAACCATTTCAAATTGAACACGTAAGTCAGGGAACTCCCCATTCCTCCTGGGGTAGGTAAACAATGAGTAGTACAAGCTTCTTATCTACAGTCCTGATAAGCATGCTTTATTCCCAATTAGAAGAAATCATCAAATACTAGGAAGATACCATAGGATCACAGAATGGCTCAGGTTCAAGGGATCTTAAAGATCATCTAGTTCCAACACCCCCTGCCGTGGGCAGGCTTGCCAACCACTAAATCAGGCACTAGATCAGATACTAGATCAGGTTGCCCAGACCCTATCCAGCCTCCAGGGATGGAGCATCCACAACTTCTCTGGGCAGGCTGTTCCAGTGCCTCACCACCCTCTGAGTGAGGGTACATCAGTTTCTGTATACCGTTTAGCTCATGGACTTCCAAGTAGGCAAGGGAGAAATGTAACTATATGGATGAGTTTCTAATAAAGAAATAGTAAGAAATGACAACCCAGTGCAGTTCTGGAAGTTTTGGAAATTCTGGGGTAATTAATTTAGAAATTCACACTTTCAACATAATCACCTTGAAAGGAGTTGTCTATAAAAAAAATAGAAAATCCTTTCAAATGTTAATATCTGCACAACTCATGAAGAATGTCACTTCTTTAATGTCTATTCCATACTTTGAACCTGGGAGAAATACATAAACACAGACCTCCAACTCTTGCTTTCCCACGTGGTGATGCAGGTATATGCACACGCTGGAGCAGCACTGGATGGGAAGATGTATATTACCTGTGGGAGGAGAGGAGAGGATTATTTGAAGGAGCTGCAATGTTACGATCCAAAGACTGACCGCTGGGAAGTTTTAGCAGATGGTCCAGAGAGACGTGCTTGGCATGGGATGGCTGCACTGCTGGGAAAGCTCTATGTAATTGGAGGAAGCAACAATGATTCTGGATACAGAAGGGATGTTCACCAGGTGAGAGCTTATCATACCTATGTTCTGGAAGAGTCTGTTTCTTATAGATGCTTTCACACTGATGTCTTTCTCCTCCTAAGTAGGCAAGTAAAACTCTCTAGCATCAGCTCTCTTCCACTTAATTGCAGAACTTGCCATGATTTATTGCTGCTGTCTTGAATGCACTGTCTAAGCATTAAAGCTGTAGCATTTGAGATTCATGTAAATTTTAAAATATCTTTGCTGAATGACATTCACTCCCATGCATATAGCCCCTAAGTAGCACATCAGCTGAGTTTCCTTTAATTGCCTTCTCATATGCATTTTTTCCTAAGTTAAGAACCTTGGAATTAGCAGTGTACAATTGCAGGACAAGATTTGTTAAGGATACGTTGGAAAGCACAATGAGTGGATTGGATGGCAATTGTATAATGCAATAAAATATACAGTACCTGATGGGCAGTGATGAATGGAGAATTTTCTTGTGTCTTACTCTGACTTCTATAACTGCTAAAGACATGAAAAAAGACAAAAAAAAAAAAGTAATAGCTTTGTTAAAGCCAACGAAGATAGCAAAATTCAAGCTAAAGTTTGAGTTACAAAAAGATGCTTACAAATAAGTGGAGTTAGTAGAGTAGCTACCCACTGCAATCTAAAACTTTCCAGCACGTGGTGCAGAGATGGTTAGCAGGTTTGTCATGTTTGTGTGATGCAGCACATTGTTCCTATTGCAAACAGGTATGCTGTGTCTGAGCTCATATTAACATGTCCCCATCTCACACTTCTGTGTCTGTTTTTTCAAATGACATACAGCTGTTAGCACAGCAGCTGGGTCAGACGTTGTGATTGAGTTATATGGCAAATATGCACAGTTCTACTGAGCATTGTACTTCTACCGCATGGGAAACGTGCTCTGCGTTATCAGTGCCCATCAAAGGACTGGTGGTATGGTGTGGCTGCATGAGTAGTTTGCCATCCAGCCAGGCTCTGTCACTAAGATCCAAGTTCAATTTTGGCTAATCTATTTTTTACCTTATACAGGTTGCCTGCTACAGGCCAAGCACTGATCAGTGGACAAATGTATGTCCACTTCCTGCAGGACATGGAGAGCCAGGTATCGCTGTCTTAGACAACAGGATCTACGTCCTGGGAGGCAGATCCCACAACAGAGGAATCCGCATGGACTATGTCCACATTTATGATGCAGAGAGAGACTGTTGGGAGGATGGACCCCAGTTGGAGGATGATATTTCTGGGATGGCTGCCTGTGTCCTCACCTTGCCCAGGGCTATTTTAATGGAAACAGAGAAATGGTTCTCAGAATGGCACGCAGACCGCATGAAGTATCACCTTGACCTTCCGTCAGAAGTTATGAGCGTATCAGACTGGGAAGAATTTGACAATTCAAGTGAAGATTAAAAAATTTAGTATTTATTTTTTGCCAGTAGTTGAGGAAATTAAGTCTTGAAAGAAAAAAAAAAGATTTTATATGTCTTTCTTATATCCATAAATATGTATTTAAAAGTTTGAAAAATAAGTGTTCTGCACAAAATGACATTTGCTGTTATTATCTGCTCATCTGCAAGTGTTTTGCACAAAATGCCACTACCAGTCAGTATCTGCTCACCTGCCAGAAAGCAGAATTTTTAAAGTAACCACAGAACTGCCATTTCCCCCCAGATAAAGTAGAGAGGTTCTTTTCCTTTGAAGGAGACTTCTCTCAACTTCCAGCGTGGACAGAAAAAAAAAGAAAAAAAAAAAAAAGGCACAGAAAGCTCAGCTTGACTGGCTTCTTTCCTTCCAGCTTTTAATGTGAAATAGCTCTGAGTTTAGGGAGATTTTATTTTTTCTGGTAATAAAACCTTCTAGCAAGCCTAACATGGGAGGGTAAGAACTAGCATCTCCCTCCTGTGCCGGGCATCAGCCTCATCATTTCTAGCCAGACTGAACATACAGAAGCAGGAACAGTAGAAGAAATCTGAATCTTCATCTCATCTGGGCATGCAGCCATCCTCATAGCTGGGTTAGAGTCTGAACTGACATCCATTCCCGAATTTCTGTACTACAGGTGCTGACAACGCAGCAGACAGATTTCCAGAAACAGCTCTTTGTACAGAATAAGGCAATCTCATCATTCAACTGTCAGACACATTTGTTCACAAGCATAAATTAATTAATAAATCTTTGTCAGAACTTTTTTTTTCTTTTTAACTACTGTGACAGTTTTATTAACCATGATGTGGAATCTAAAAGATGGAGAGTTCAATTAGATCCATGTTACTACATTATTATCAGTGAAGATACACCAGCTTGGGAATGGGCCGATTTTTTATTCACTCTTTTAATATATACTTTACAAAAGGATAAAGAGAGAAGAAATGGGTTTGCCTCAGATGAGGGAAGTAATAAGCAGATAACAAGCAGTAGTGAAGAAGCCACTCATCCAAGACCCTATGGTAGCTGAACTAATGACAGGAAAATAAGAGAATCACCACAGCTCAAAAAGATAAAACATAGAAAAGCTTTTGCTTAAGAAGCTTAAATGGTTCACTTCTGAATGCCATTTTGATTTTGCTTGACATTAGTTTAGAAGCTGATTTAAAGTCCAAACCATTGTGATATGTGGACATTATAGGTTCCTTCCCTCCTGGAGGGGCAGGAACTAATGGGTGCCACATGAAAATCATGAGCCAAAAGCCTTTAAAACTTCTAGCAGTAGCAGGGCTGCAGGAGGAAGGGTGAAACCAAAGTGATGCTCAGTAACCATCACATGACAAATAATGGTTGGCCTGCTACTTCAGAGAAACGTTCTCCCATCTCTTGATTTCGAAATGGATTTCACTGACTCCACATGAGTACAGTGGGCTTCTGGAAAAGGTTTAGAAGGATTTGAACGGCTTTTTTTTTTTTCCAGCTGGGGAGTCAGATTGTTTTTCTTCAGCACTGTCAGTTTTTACCTCAATTTTGGACCCTTTGCCAATTGGCAAATAAAGCAGAAGACCTGACAAAGCAGGAAACCCTATACGTGAGCTTCCTCAGAAAATCCATTTTGATAATAAAGTCTGTTATACTGCAATACAGGAGCCTGAGGTGTATTCATCTTTAGCCCACAGAGCTATTCTGAACCTGTAAGAATTCAGTGCAGCTCTCACATGTAATGACAAATCTGAGGTTGACATCACAAAAACACTCCTTCCAGACTGCAGGCATTGCAGTGGCAATCTGTTGTGCCTGCACACCGACCAAGTGATTGCACACTCCTAGTGATCCAAGCCACACTGCAGATCCAGGTGTTCCAACTAACCCTGGCACTTAGCACACATCTGACTGCACTGCTTGCAGTGTGTTTCACATTTTAACTAGCATGTCTTAACAGACCAGTGATAAGCAGTGTATTTCAAGGGAAAATGGTTGTTAGCCTCTTCCATGACAATTAAAAATGGGATCATTCTTTGTCTGGCTTATTTTCCTTTTCCTATGTATTCCACTAGAGGGCAATACTTACTATTTTAATTAAACTGGGCTTAAATTATGTAGGGGAATGCAAGATGTAATTATTAAGCTAAAGAAATGTCATGAGGAAACTCACACTTCTATTTTTCCCAGCCTTTTCCTATCACTCCTCCAGAGTTTGGATACTGATCTCTAGATAGTCAGGAGATCCATTTTTCTACTTCATCAGCATATGCAATTTAGTGACTGTTATTTATTAAATAACAGTTGGATGCTGTGCAAAGCAAGTCAGTACACAACTTAGAAGGCAGTTATGAGGAAACAACCTGTCCTTAAAACACATTATATACCTTAGGAATGTTGTATTCTTTTTTTCTAAGCTTTCTTTTCTTTTTTAAGCTGCCAGCATTATACATCCACATTACATGGACCAATTCTATGAGCAGATCTGCATTTTCATTTGGTAAAAACAAGTCTTCATTTGCTTTCACTCCCAACGTTTCATCTGAGCACAATATGACAGTTAAAAGGTACCATATGCACTATCCTAACTGCATGCATTTTGTTTTAGTGAAAAAACAAGCACGTTTCCTTTAGGTCAAACCATCCTAATCATTTAGCAGCTGCATGGTCTGGTCCAGCATTCTCCTTTCCAAGCCAACACCCAGGCTAACAATAATCAAATCACTTTGCACTAAAATTATGTCTAAAACATATGAAGAGCTTTGTTGTTCTTGCTCAGTGCAGTCACCCACACAAAGAAACTGCAGGAGGGATTACAGATTGATATGCTGAGGTGTGATTATCATCAATCTATTAAGGCTGAAACTTCAGGAACTTCATTAGCACACCTAAACTTTGTGTTCACTTGTGTTCAACATGCTCTCATGGGGGTTTTAGGCTGATTCTGATTTTTGATATTTTTTCTCTTTTTGATTAAAAAATCCTCTAGTCTCCTAGATATGTCAGTCTTGTACCTTGCAGTAAGAAGCATCACAGTGTAGCACAAGGCACTGCAGACAGTTGAATGATGAACTAAGAAAAGTTGACATTACTTCTGGTCTGTAAGATATGAGCCAAACAGCTCTTCAGAACAGCGTGACCACAATTCTAAAGCTTTAACAGCCGATGCACTAGGAAGCCCAGAAGAATAACAACTTTGTTTCTTAATAATCTATTTTCCTCTTTCCTGCCAGCCAGAGGTAAAGCTATAGAGGCATATTTACTAGATTTGTAATTAGTGGACTTGTATCCTGAAGTATTTTAGGCTTCCTTATTTGCACAAGTGATTGTAATTGCTTCAGGTTTTGTTTCTAAGTGCTTTCACTACTGTATTTCTTTTCCAGCTGCCTACCTCTAAATCCAACACATCCTTTCCCACTTCCTCCTCATTTCAATTAGGATTGTTAATTTTGTCTTGGAAGCATACCCAGTTCTTCATTTAAAAGAAAGAAGGATTCTCATTCTAAACCTTTGATACAAGGTTACTCCCGCTCACACAGGAATGAGCCACATGCACAATTTATTTGGCATTCAGCGCTACGGAGGGGGGCTTTTGGCAAAAAGAGGAAGAAGCAGCTGGGCATGGGGTAAGAGGAACAGCACTCACACAAGGCAATATTCTGCCAGCTGAGTTTGTATTTTACTAGCAGCTGATGCACTTCAAGAGATCCCTATTTCATCAGTTGCACTGCAGCAAACATTTGGCCGAATATTCTGAGGACAGAAGCTGCCAATGCATAACACAAAGAGCATAAACTCATTCATATATAATAAAAAGGTAAAGTGGCACCGTAAAACAGCCCTAAAAATCCATACATCTCTTCACTCTTCATGAGACAGACTAGGAAGCTGCTGCCTGGTCTTATTTGATAATGGTAACAAGCTTGAATATATCACCTTTTTCTCTTAATGTAAGTAGAAGATGAGGTGTTTTACCTAGCTGATTTCACCTAATTCAACCACAGTTATTGAAACTGAAAGGGGAATGACCTGAAGGATGCACACAGCCTGCACAAGCTCAAGTCAGAACAGATCATTGTGGCAGTTCCTTTCAAACTGAAAACCCTTCTGTGCTTAGTGTCTTTTCGGGAAGGGAAGGTGGCTGGCTGTGCTGGTTCCTCAGTCACCACTCGAGCCCTCTGTAGCACTGCACTGAAACTGGTTTATAATCAAGTGCTATTTATTCCTGACATGTTTCAACTCTTTAGAGATAGTTGTGCTATTTTCATGAAATGGAGGTAAGATAATTACATATTTGACTTACATTTTTTATCATACTATAACAATAATTATAATTCAATAAAATGCAGCACAAATTTTTATTTCCTTTTCATATACTACGTATTACTGATTCTGCTGCTAGCTTGTGGCTCTTGTAATTATTTTTAAACATTATCTGGCTCGTTATTTCAAGTACTGTCTTGTAGTTTGGCCACAGCTGCACAGAAAATGACTCAAACCTATTCAAATAACAAAGAGAAATATAACAACCTTCATAATCTATTGTAACCTATTTACCTGTGCTTAGAAATGACTCTCATTGGCAGAAAAAAAGTACTTCAACCAGAAGGAATTGATCAGTGATACGCCTATTAGGTAAGTTTCCCTAAAAGAAGTTTGCATGGGTGTGAATTTTCAGATGGAACTATTCATCTCTGGCCTTTTGTTTTACTTGTGTTGCTCTGCCTGATTAAACAGCTGTTGTTTTCCACCCAGGAGATGGCTGTACTTGGCAGCTGGTGAAGCGATACCTGCACATGTATTCAGGACCAAGTTTAAGATCCTTCTGTATTAGTGATGTCACAAGATTTTCTTGAATAGTTTTTGCTAAAACATAATAATCTGAGCGAGGTGAGGCTTCCAGTTATCTGAACTCAGTGCTTGGAGAGAGAGAGCCCACACCAATACAAACACCTCAGCTAGCACTGACTACCAACATAGGAAATAAAACGAAAAACCAACCGTGCTGTGAGCGAGCTTTTGGAATAAACAGCATGAAGGGAAGATGGCAACGCTGGAGTTGAGCCTGCACAGCAGCCGGGCTGGGCAGGTTGTGACAGTCACCTCCAATCTGCTTCTCCATTTGAAACCTCACTTACTTCACTCGGCTCTGCTTCACACTGACAGCCTCAAAAGCAAAACAAGAAGAGAAACAAAATCAAATGAAATCACAGAGCTGACCTAAAAAATCAGCAAAGTGTTTGTGAAGGTATCTCTAGCACGTCTGGGGAATCGGTGCTGTTCACTTTGTCGTGTCCTTACCTGGGGCAGCCGAGCACGGCGATACCACCGAGAGCTGCCTGAAATCAGCCCTGCTGCCGGGACTCGTGCTGCTGCTCCGGCTCACCGCAGCACCCAGCGCTGCCAGGCCCCACTCAGCCCTTCTTTCCTCCTCAGCCATCACCTCAAAGGGCTTCGACCTCCTCGTGCGGGAACAACGCGAAAAAGAGGTGAAACTCAAAACGCGCAGGAAAGCATCACCAAAAATCCTCAGAGGAGGCAACGTGGGCACCAAGTGCCCGCGGGCAGGGAGCTCAGCGAGCCGCGAGGGGCGAGAGGCCAGGGATGCACGAGAGCGGCCCTACGAAGATGGAGGCGCATCAGCGGCTCCCCTCACACACCTCCAGCCCGGCAGCAGGCGGCCTTTCAGGACCGTTCCCCTCCCGCCTCTCCGCTCTCCGCTCTCCTCACGCCGCCGCGGGCCGCAGCGCGCATGCGCGGGGCGGTGTCTCCGGAGGGCTCTCGCCGCCCGGCGCCGCCGCCATTTTGGTGCTCGGCTCCGAGAGGGGAGGGAACCCGTAGAAGAAAGCGGGAGCCCGGCGCTTCGCCCCTCCCGTTTCCCTCTCATCCGGCGCCGAGACACCGTAGCGGGATATCCTCGCCACCTTTTCGGACTGCCCGACCTTGCAGCCCGCCCGGGCCTGAGACAGGCGGGAAGGATGCCGCCCCGCACGCCGCGCCGCTGAGCACATCGGGGCCCTGAGCGCCGCGCCCGGCCGGCCCCGCCCGGCGATCCTCGGGCCTCCGCCTCGGCGGCACGGGGCTTCCTCCGCCGCATCCCCTGTCCCTTTGCCGCCCGTCCGCCGGGCTGGGCGCTTCCTCCTCGCCCCCGGCCCCGCCGTCTGCCCTTCCGGGCCTTCCCCTCCCGGCTCTCCTCTTCCCGCGGGGCCTCCGGGCTCTTGGCCTTCTTCCTCCCCTCCCTCGCCCTTCCCCGTTCGGAGCCATGTCCTCCGCCGCCCGGTTCGATTCGTCGGACCGCTCCAGCTGGTACGTGGGTCCGGTGTCGCGGGCGGAGGCGCAGACTCGGCTGCAGGGGCAGCGGCATGGCATGTTCCTGGTGCGGGATTCGTCCACCTGCCCGGGGGATTACGTGCTGTCGGTATCCGAGAACTCCCGGGTGTCCCACTACATCATTAACTCGTTGCCTAACCGCCGCTTTAAGATCGGCGATCAGGAGTTCGAGCACCTGCCCGCCCTGCTGGAGTTCTACAAGATCCACTACTTGGATACCACCACCCTCATCGAGCCCGCGCCCAGGTGAGTGCTGCAGCTCCGGGATCTGTGCGGGGTTCGTCTGCTTTGAAACTCTGGGACAGGGCTCTCGGTGATGGCCGTGGGTTGCTCGTTACGGTTATCATCAGTATAGCGAGTAGGGCCCGTCCTTGTGATGAATATAAGCAGATGCGGAGGCTCTGGGAACATCCCTGCCACCCGCTGTAATTGTCTTGCAGGAGGGTGTGGTCTTGCTTTGTATCAGCCTTCTGGTATTGTCCCCTTACTGGGACGGCTGAGAGAAGCTGGCTCAGAAGTCTTCCCCTCCCTGGCTGAAGTATGGCCTCAGAACTCAGTTGCTCTGGCCTCTCATCCACAGTGATTCCAACAGGTCGTGCCTTTGTGATTCCTGCTTCGTGGTGCTGACTGAATTCTCGTGCATTCAAAAACATTGTTTCCCAGACTTAGAGAGTGGCATTCCCCCAGAAGAGGGCAAAAGCATTTATCTCTGTTTGCTTATGGCACTCTTTGTCTCTGCATATGCATACACCAAGAAATGCTCTTTTAGGAGGATGGGAAAATGTGAGTTGGCTGTGAGCTCATTCTTTGTCCTGCACCCAACACAGGGCATACCTGCAGGCTGCATCACTAAACAGCTTACCAGTAACCCTGGAACATATTTATTTCATCCTTTGGGCTTCCTAGATAAAAGAAGGAGAAAAGCTATTAAAATAATGACACAGTTAAAAAAAAAAAATCAAATAGCTTGAATTCTAAATTCTGCAGCTGAAGGGATTTCTTTCAGGTTAACAAGTTACTGGGGGGGAGGGGGAACTTTTGAGTTTTAGAATCACAGTTTAACGTTATTATAGTCCAGTTCTTAATCACAATCACTAAGTTGTCAAAAGTCGACCACAGCGTCAAATTGAAAAAGGCAAGTGGTCAGCAGGCTCTGCAGAGCTGTCAGGTGGTGGGAGGAGCGTGACAAAGCTCTGGCCTCAAGAGCTCCTAAAGCTGTTGAGAAACCTTCTGGTAGTGGTTGTGCTGTGGCTAAAGAAAAGGGTAGGTGAAAAATTCCCTCATCTTTTACAGGTGCTGAAACATTTAACTGGAGCTGCACAAGGTTATGCGTATGTTTAAAGTTACAGACAGTTTGGAGGAAAAAAGTCTATACTGCAGTGATGTTCTTGCTCATCTCTGTTCTTGTTAACCTGGGTACTGTCAACCCTTTCTGAAAATAAACCACCTCATTCTTAGTCATAGACAGCAAGGACTTGGCTTCCACAACTTAAACTTAGTTGATTCCACTTGTTCTCTGGGTATTTGTGTCATACCTTGCATGAAACATTTCCTGAACATCTTAGTACTACCGTATTTTCAAGGCATTCATTGCAGACAGATGTTGGTGGTGTTCTCAGCGCACAGAGACAGATGGGACCTGGCATACTGTGACCTGAGGTGCTTTTTCATAAAGCTACAAAAGGGGTTGAAGTGGTTATCCACAGTACAATTACTGTTCCGAAATCTTGGGAAAAAAATCACTGACATGGTTGATGGTTTGGACTTCTGTCTATATTAAAAAAACTTGGTGATGCAAGAGAGAGAGTGGGAGGTAGCACTTCCAGATTTACTTTCTTTAAATCAATGGGCTACATTTAGAATAGGGGTAGACAGAAGTTTCTTCCAGAACTGTTAGTTCTCATTTCTCTCGAAAATTTGGCCTTTTCCGTGGAACGTCTCAGGTGCTTTTGCAGGCTCTTAGTTCTTCTGACTTCATGAAGTGCATATATATATATATATAATAGAAAGCAGTGTTTGTGGTATGTTCCTTCCAGCAGATGTTAGTATTTCCTCCTGTTTCTTATGAAGAATGTCACGTTATGCTATTAGGTATTTAGATATTCAGGAATTACAAGTACTCTTAAATAGAGTTGAAGTTAGGACAATAAGATCAGGGAGCTTAATTCCGTATTACTTTCCAGAATGGAAGGGAAATGTGTGGTCTCCTAAGACCATTAAATATGTCTCTGTCCTGAAACAAAGGGGTTTTTGGTATTAATATGGCTGCCCCTCAAATCCTGCATATCAGCAGTAGCCTTCTGGTACAAGGATGCTCTACTGCCTACAGCATCAGAAAGACTGTAGAGTTTATCATATTCTTCCTTTCACTATTGCTTCCATTTTCCCACTGTGCCCCCTCAGGTTTGCCATTCAGGGTTACTGGATTCTTGACAGAGGTGGATGCTGAGGTTAAAGATGGAAATGCAATGAACTGGAAAGGGTTATGTAGCTCTCCAGAAGCTCCTCCCCAGTCAACCAAAACTTCTTCACTTATTCTTAATATATCACAACTTCTCATAACTTAAGCCACAGAGGTCTTTATTCTACCTTAACATCTTCACAATAATCCAAAAGAGAAAGTAAAGCAGTAATTAAGGTTTTGCCTTATTATACCTTTTTTTTTTTTTCTTTTTTACATCTATGATAGCTTTTTATTGTATGTTGCTACATAGGTGAACAAGGTAGTTCTCCTTTACCTGGTGTTCCTTGTGTGCAGCTGGTGGCTAGTTTTGTTACTGGCAGTGCAAAACAACGGCTAATTGATATCCAGTTGATAATTGGGACTTTTTTAATCTCAGGTATCCAAGTCCACCAATGGGATCTGGATCTGCCCCTGCTATGTCTGCTGCCGAAGAAAACGTGGAATACGTTCGGACTCTCTATGACTTTCCTGGCAACGATGCTGAGGATCTGCCATTTAAAAAGGGCGAAATACTGGTAATTGTAGAGAAGCCAGAAGAACAGTGGTGGAGTGCCAGAAACAAGGATGGTCGGATTGGGATGATTCCTGTTCCTTATGTAGAAAAGCTAGTTAGATCTTCTATCGGGAAGCACGGCAACAGAAATTCCAACAGTTACGGTATTCCAGAACCTGCCCATGCTTATGCTCAGCCTCAGACCACAAGTCCCCTTCCCACAGTATCCAGTACACCTGGAGCAGTCATCAACCCTCTGCCATCCACGCAGAATGGACCAGTCTATGCCAAAGCTATCCAAAAGAGAGTACCCTGCGCTTATGACAAGACTGCACTGGCATTAGAGGTGAGTTTTCCCCTTTGTCTTACAGTTCTCCAATGGTTTTGAAAAATAAACTAAATATTGTTAGTGACAGAGCAGGTGTGGATGACTTTATGTGGAGTCTCTTTATCTGTGCCAAAGGACTGAAAAGTTCTGTTATGTTCTGAAGAAAGACGTACAAAAATTGCTTCACCTACACCACTTCCTTTGAGAAAATTGACTAAGCTACTTCAGAACCCAGGCCTAATGCACTGTTGTCTTGCCTATGGAACAGTGAATTATATTATAAGAGCAGTAGAATATATACATCCTTCTGTGGAAGTGACTTTGCTTCTCTACTTAATCTTAGAGAAGGGATGTTTAATTGATCATTCCAGGCTGAGAACTGAAGTAGAAAGGTAAGGATTGCTGATACAGTTATTTTTTCTGATTCTCAACCGTAGCTTTTTGGATGTGGGGGGTGGGGGGCTTAAGGAGCAAATGCAGGGAAACAAGCAAGGGAAGCAACAACACCTTAGCAAGCAGAGTAGGGATTTTAGAAAATGTTTTTGAACTTTTCCTGTTGCCTTTTCTCAGTTTGCAAATGAAGCTGCTGCTTTTCACTAAGATTCAAAAGGTTTTGTTTGTCACTTTTGGTTATTCATAAAAGTTTCCCAAAATTGCCCTCTTGTACAATCTCTACAGGTGATTATTGGCATAGGGTTAAAAATTAAATGTATCACTGTTTTCCTTGAGTCTTACAAAAGCTAGCAGCCTGTCATTTGTGAACAGTGTGTGAAAATCAGCATAGGAAGAAAAGTAAATTCTCTGCCAACTGCTCCGTACAGAAGATTCCTGCCAAAACTATTCATGCTTCTGAAGACAGTAAGGCAAGCAGTTGATTTTATGTTATCAGTGTGTCATAGAACAACTTGAGGGAACCTGCTTTGCTGCAAGGTAGCAGAACTGCTTGGGAGGATGGCTCTCACTAATGAATTTTCTCCTATTTGCTATTTAGTGACCTAGTTAATCCAATCATTTAACTGCCCTGATATACTGGTAGGATTCATTCTCTGGCCAGCATGCAGGTTTGAGTTGTGATTATAGCTTTTCCATCCATGCA